CTCTTCCTCTCATGGGAAGAGAAAGGATTACGTTTATGGAGTCATGATACATTTGCAGGGATGCAGTCCACTTGCAGGAAACAAAACCATGTGCAATCTCACAGACAGTACAAGGAAGAAACATGAGAACGCAGTGCGTCCAACTCACCCCTGCAATGTAGCTCCCGGTGGCGCGGATGCAGCTGACAGCGAGACCGATCCCTCCGGCCGACTTGGAGATGAGCGCACAGTGCTTCAGCGTGTCATAGATGCCTTCGATGCTGTCGTCCTTCATGCACAGCAGGAAACAGCTGGAGAGAAGCAAAGGGAAGGCACACTGGACTGAGATAATGCTCAAGTCAGACATATCTTTAGAATTGATTTTCAGAAGATGCTAGCACTCGAGTATCTTAAAGAAGAAGGAGGAGGTGAAAAATTCATGGACTATCTGCAAGGATTCCTTAGCAAAACCCATGCATTTCCCAGCCACTTTTAAGCATGAACTTTGTAAGCATGTGTTGAAGTCCAAAACACCTGGAGGAAGAGCCAAAGTTTGCCCATGCCTGGCCTAAAACCACAGGCCAGTGCAAGAAAAGCCAGCGGAAAGCTTTGCACCGGAGCCCGGCCTCACCTGGAGAGCTGGGGGCGGTTGGTGCCGGCGTTGAAGAGGGTGGGGGAGGCGTGGGTGAACCACTTCTCGGAGAGCAGGTTGTAGGTCTCAATGGCCGCGTCGATGTCGCTCTTGTGGATCCCCACAGAGACCCGCATCAGCATGTGCTGGGACGCTCAGCCACTGCACACCGGGGGCAAGAGAGAGAGGGTCACAACCCCCAAACGCACAAGACTTCCCATGTCCCAGAATAAATACAGGTCAAGACTCTGGAACTGGTCTGAGGCATGGAGCAAGGGCTGGCCTCAAACCAATTCCTAAAATGTATAGTAAATTTGTTACAGTAAGTGGTAGCAGGATGATAATAATAACAACAACAACAACAATAATAATATTTATTTATCCCAAATGGAGCCCCCGGTGGCGCAGTGGGTTAAAGCCCTGTGCTGGCAGGACTGAAGACCGACAGGTCGCAGGTTCGAATCCAGGGAGAGGCGGATGAGCTCCCTCTATCAGCTCCAGCTCCTCATGCGGGGACATGAGAGAAGCCTCCCACAAGGATGATAAAACATCAAATCATCCGGGCGTCCCCTGGGCAACGTCCTTGCAGACGGCCAATTCTCTCACACCAGAAGCGACTTGCCGTTTCTCAGGTCGCTCCTGGCACGACCTGACTCCACCATCTCCCCGATGGAGACTCGGAGCGGCTTACATGAGGTCAAGCCCAAACGACAATTACAATAAAGGAAAAAACCAAAACACAAACTGAAAATGCGAACAATAAACAATATTTACATAAAACATATACATACATAACAATGTAAAAATTACAATAAGCACAGGCACAATAACGATGGGCAGGCTACATGTAATGATTAAAAGACAAACTGATTAAAACTAATTAAAAACTCAGGCGAGATAAAAGAGAAGCAGGTTATTAGCGGAGGAGGGCTCATTATAGCGGGGGTTGTGGAATCAGGCTCTCCCACGAGGGGGGGATGTATACTCCAATGACAGAACTTGAGGCTGAGCAATAATATTGTATACCTACTCATCAAAGGCGCAGCAGAAAAGTCAGGTTTTAAGGTTCTTTTTAAAAATTTCTAAGGAAGGGGCTTTCCTAATTTCTCCAGGCAGTGAGTTCCAGGATCAAGTGTGTGTTAAAGAAAAACCTTATGATGTTAATTATGTGGAGCTGTAATGTAGGTCAGCCAGCATGTTTGGGCCACACTCGGTGGCGTATAACTGTTTGGATTTTAGAATAGTTTGGAGAAGCAATTTGCTACTCTGAGGAAGAGAAACAATATTTTGTAATGCTGCTATGCTCTAACAGAGATGCTCTTTGCTATGGTGGAATAGCTATTTACTCAAGGTTTATGTTTTGCTCTCTCATTTGAATGAAGATGAAGAAGCCTTATTCTGTGTTACTTACAAGAACTATGTAAGCTTGTTGCACTATTTGATTTTGTATGCAACACTGCAAGTTTATTACCTCTGCTGATAAGAGTAAAGTTTTTCTGTTCCGTTTTCCTCTTGCCTGTGTGTCTTTTTCATGAGACTTGCCTAAAATCCACTTCTGCGCAACAAATGCAGGGATTCCCCTCCAGCTCTCCCCATTTGTAGATCAGCAGAGCACTTTGGGTGTCCACAGCTATTTGATTTCGGGGTGCAATGTGCTTTACAGCTGGAGTGTGCTGATGCATAGGGCGGGCTCTATTTCCCCACAGCCACTGACTTTGCTTACCCCTGTTTAAAGGGGCAAAATGCAGTCAAGCTGCCTTCAAAGTGCATCAAACGGTCAGTGTATAAGTGACCGCAGGCATGTGCAGTTATGGGCCCAGTGAGGTGGAAAGCAGAGCTTTCCAAATTGTGTCAGCTACAATCTATCTTTGAGACCGCATCTCTTTCTATTATTATTATTATTATTATTATTATTATTATTAACTTTATTTGTACCCCGCTAGCATCTCCCGAAGGACTCGATGCAGCTTACACAGGCCAAGGCCTCAATAAAACAACAGCATAACAAAACACGTAACTTAAAACAAATCAAACATTAAAACAATAGCAGTAAACAATAAAAACAATACACCATAACACAATAAAACTAGGGCTGGGCCAAATGTAATGGGTACAGATTAAAAAGTGCTGAGTGTGACAGGTGGATGTAGGATTTTAGGGTAAGTGCAATGTGCAGACCATCTTAAAACTCTGATAAAGTGCTTCTGGGACATATTGCTGGAGTTTCCTATTCTGGAAAGGCACATCGGAACAGCCAGGTCTTCAAACTCTTCCTAAAGACTGCCAACGTAGGGGCTTGTCTGATGTCTTTGGGGAGGGTGTTCGAAAGTCAGGGGGCTACCACAGAAAAGGCCCTGTCCCTCGTCCCCACCAAACGCGCCTGCGACGCAGGAGGGATTGCAAGCAGAGTCTCTCCGGATGAGCAAAGAGAACGCGTGGGTTCATAAACGGAGATGCGGTCACGCAGGTAGGCAGGTCCCAAACCGTTTAGGGCTTTGTAGGTACCACCTGCACCTTGAATTGGGCACAGGCATGGGCATGAAGATCTGTTGGGGAGGCCCTTCTCTCGGTCCCTCCATCATCTCAAGCACAGTTGGTAGGGATGAGAGAGGGAGGGTTAGGGTTTAACCCACTGCGCCACCTTAACCTGTGCACATAGGACTAAGATAATGCTCAAGTCAGACATACCTTTAGAATTGATTTTCAGAAGATACGAGCGCTCGAGTGTCTTAAAGAGAAGAGAGAAATAATAAAAATTAGGCAACCCTTCTTCAGAGACTAAAATAATGGAAGTAAGATTCACTTTCTTCCCACCACTGCCTCCTTTCTGCACTGGGACATCTCTTTGGAGACTGAGGTTTATTATTATTTATTTATTATTATTTATTTATTTTCTCACCCCACAGAGGACACAGGGTGGATCACAATGTGCATATACATGGCATATACGTGGCAAACATTCAATGCCATAGACACAATTTCCACAAATCTTCAAGTTTCCTTAGAAGTTTAGCAAAACACTCATCAGGGAGGTTCTTAATTTTAGTCGACCAGCTTCCCTGGGATACAAAGTGGAGGGCTTTCCCTTCAAAACCTCATCCATTACAGTCATTCCTATAGGAAAAAAACCCCAGCTCTTTACCTTAAAGCCAAAATAATTGTAGGAGAAATCGCGGTCGTAAATAATAGCAGAGTTCAGTCGCTGTGGAAAAGAAACAGCAAGTTAAGACTCAATATTGAACCTGATAGTGGCATCCTGAAATTGTGGCATTCTTCTCTTGATACAGATTTGCACCCACACACCAAAATGTGATCAGAACATTAGCAGATTGTTACTTATCCTTTAAGTAAATTGTATTATTCATACATTTGTGAGGCAGAACCATGACAAAATCTATGTGAATGAAGTCAGCCTTGCAATAATTCTCTGAAACTGGAACTATTATGACTTTTATTACGGCATTTTATGTGCCTTCATCACCCGTGTCCTCACGCACCTCCTCATATGCTCGTTACCCATCTACATCATTGGAAATTAACTAACTTTTGCTATACAAATCTTAACTCTTAAATGTGCATTTGAGGATATTGGCTTATATGGATATATACAATTTGTAAGGTTTTTAATATTGTGTGTAAGAGTAAAAGCAATGAAGAATTAGAAGTAGTAAGTGTCAGAAATATTAAAAAATTAACTAGGTATAGGGGGAATGAATGATAAAAAGTTTTATACAGTGAATTTAGTCTGCAGAATATTAATTTAATGGATAAAAGTAAGGAGGAATGAATGACAAACGTTTTATATAGTGAATTTAGTCTGCAAAATACTAATTGAATAATTAATAATAGATTGAAGTAAACCTTTATTTAGACAATAATTCAGATACTAATGAAAATTTGACAAAAGAGTTCTACAAGAAACAATCCCAGTAGAATCATAGAATCCAAGAGTTGGAAGAGACCTCCTGGGCCATCATCCAGTCCAACCCCATTCTGCCAAGAAGCAGGAATATTGCATTCAAATCACCCCTGACAGATGGCCATCCAGCCCCTGTTTAAAAGCTTCCAAAGTAAGAATATTCAAGATGAAGTTTTAAAAATGAAGAAGAGCTGGAGCAGAAGAGAAGAAGAACATGGAAAAAGACAGAAAGTATAAGAAGGTATGACTATTAGGTTGAAAATTGGATGACCATAACTTTGAATGAGTTTTAATTATTTTTAACGGTGAATTTTTAAATACTGTTTATATTTAATTCTGTTTTAATATTTGCATATTTGTATATTTTATATCGTGTGCAAATGCTTTTATGTTAAGCTGCTTTAAGTACCCTTTGAAAAAGATAAAGTGGGGTATAAATAAGCACAATCTATATAAATAAAAATGTAATGTCAGTTTGTGGGATTAACATAACTCGAAAACCATTAGGTGAACTGACACCAAATTTAGACACAAGGCACCTCTCAGGCCAATGAGTGACCATCACCCATAAAAATACTGAAAAACACAGCGGAAGGGACTAAAAAGCCAAAAAACAAAGAATGCATTACAACTCATGTGCAAAACTACATAAATATATACACAAACACATGTATATACACATGTACACAAATATATACACACACACACACACACACACAAAACACATATACACAGACTGGGCCACAGCAACGCGCGGCAGGGGACGGCTAGTAACAATAATAATCCTCTTTTTGATATTTTTTCTTTTTTACTAGCTGTACCTGCCATGTGATGCTGTGGCTAAGCTTCCCTCCCTCCTTCTCTTCTTCCTTCCCTCCCTCTTTCCTTTATTCCCTTTTTCCTTTCCCTTCTACTTTCCCTTCTTCTTTCGTCCTTCTCTACCTTGTTTCTTTGCTCTCTTCCTTTGCTCTTTGGTTCCATCCTTCCTTGTCTCTTTCCTTCCTTCCTTCCCTCCCTCTTGTTCCTTCTCTTCCTTCCTCTCTCTCTTCCTTCTTTCACTTTTTTCTTTCCTTCTCTTTCTTCTTTTCTACCTTTCTTTCTTTCCTTCCTTCTCCTTCTCCCTCCCTCTTTCCTTTATTCCCTCTTTCTTCCCTTCTACTTTCCCTTTTCTTTCTCCTTCTCTACGTTTCTTTGCTCTCTTCCTTTGCTCTTTGGTTCCATCCTTCCTTGTCTCTTTCTTTCTTCCTTCCTTCCCTCCCTCTTTCGTTCCTTCTCTTCCTTCCCTCTCTTTCCTTCCTTCTTTCACTTTTTTCTTTCCTTCTCTCCTTTCTTCCTTTTCTACCTTTCTTTCTTTCCTTCCTTCCTTCCCTCTTTCCTTTATTCCCTCTTTTCCTTTCCCTTCTACTTTCCCTTCTTCTTTCGTCCTTCTCTACGTGTTTCTTTGCTCTCTTCCTTTGCTCTTTGGTTCCATCCTTCCTTGTCTCTTTCTTTCCTTCCTTCCTTCCCTCCCTCTTTCGTTCCTTCTCTTCCTTCCCTCTCTCTTTCCTTCCTTCTTTCACTTTTTTCTTTCCTTTTCTCCTTTCTTCCTTTTCTACCTTTCTCTCCTTCCTTCCCTCCCTCTTTCCTTTATTCCCTCTTTTCCTTTCCCTTCTACTTTCCCTTCTTCTTTCGTCCTTCTCTACATGTTTCTTTGCTCTCTTCCTTTGCTCTTTGGTTCCATCCTTCCTTGTCTCTTTCCTTCCTTCCTTCCCTCCCTCTTTCGTTCCTTCTCTTCCTTCCCTCTCTCTTTCCTTCCTTCTTTCACTTTTTTCTTTCCTTCTCTTTCTTCCTTTTCTACCTTTCTTTCTTTCCTTCCTTCTTCCTTCCCTCCTTCTTTCCTTCCTTCCCTCTTTTTCTTTCCCTTCTTCTTTCTTCCTTCTCTACCTGTTTCTTTTCTTACTTCCTTTGCTCTTTGGTTCCATCCTTCCTTGTCTCCTTCCTTCCTTCCTCTTCCTTCCTTCCTTCCTTCCTTCCTTCCTTCCTTCCTTCCTCCTCCTCCTCCTCCTTTCTTTCTCCTTCCTCCTTCTCTTTCCTTCCTTCCTTTCACTTTTTCTTTCCTTCTTTCCTTTTCCTTTTCTACCTTTTTTTCCTTCTTTCCTTCTTTCCCTCCTCCTTCCTCTTTCTCTTCTTCCTTCCTTCCCCCTTTCTGTGATATGTGTGTATTATGTGTATATATGTATATATCTGTTTGCATGTATATATGTGGTTTTGTGCATGCATTGTAATGTATTTTTGTTTTTTGGCTTTTAAGTCCCTTCTGCTGTGTTTTTCCGTGTTTTTATGAGTGATGGTCACTCGTTGGCCTGAGAGGTGTTGCACCTCATCCTCATTGACATTGCTCACATCAGGTTCACCATCCAAGTCAGACTCAGAAACATTAGAAGGGGAAACACTATAACAGATTCAGGGTCAAACACAGGCTGAGCCCTAACACTTCCTCTCTTTTTTCCTTTTTACCCAACTGTTCAATTTTCCACTTTTGTGTGAAAAAAAATAGAAATGTTCAATTTTTAAAAGCTGATTTTAAAAAGAAAAGAAAATGTTATATGGCATCATCCCATTTCCGGTTATAATCCGGTGTTACCAGGCTGATGTCTAACTTTACATTCTAAGGCTTGTGTTTTGCCAAACTGAGAACAGCTGGCTTCACTTTGCCTCGATACACTCAGGAAAGAAGGAGGAAAAGGGACCTTTGAAAGTGCTACGTACGTCTTTGTTGGCCAAAACGATGTCCAGCGTCTCCTTCGCAATCATGGGAGAATGCTTGCTGTTGTGAGGGTTCACATAGTTGTACAGGTCTTCCATCACATCTATCAACAAAAAAAGTAGTTAGGAGAAGAAACGAAGCAGCAAGATGTCCTTGTTTGTTTCCTCTCTGTTGTTGTGCTGTTCTAATTTTAGAGTTTTTTTTAATACCGGGAGCCAGATTTTGTTCATTTTCATGGTTTCCTCCTTTCTAATCATCATCTAATCACCTCTCAACAAAGATTGCCCCAGGCACTGCCAGGCCATCAAATGCTAATCAAGGTGGTCAGTTGAAACATTCACACCTAGCTCCAGCAGACAAGAGTTCTTTGTCCCACCCTGGTCATTCCACAGATATATAAACCCTTTTTCCTAGTTCCAACAGACCTCACTACCTCTGAGGATGCTTGCCATAGATCCAGGAGAGAATGCCTCTAGAACATGGCCATATAGCCCAAAAAAACCTACAACAATCCAATAATGGATCTGGACCAAATGTGGCACGAATATTTCATATGCCCAAATGTAAACATTGGTGGAGTTTGGGAAAAATAGAATCTTGACATTTGGGAGATATAGTTGCTGGGATTTATAGTTCACCTACAATCAAAGAGCATTCTGAACCCCACAACAACAGAATTGGGGCAAACTTCCCACACAGAACCCCCATGATCAACAGAAAATACTTAAGGCCATCCAGTCCAACTCCCTTCACCAGGGAAAGAAACGTATTCAAAGCCCTCCTGACAAAGAGCCATCCAGCCATAGATATAGATAGATATATATGATTCACACACACAGATATAGTATCCTAGATTTGAAAGGGACCCCTAAAGAAGGACAATTATATGTTGCATATTCCAGAGTAGGCAAACCAGACACTCTCCACATCAACACTGACAAAAACAGCAAGAAATACTGTTTACCCACAAGCAGAAAGACATTACATATATTAGAAACCAACACTTTCTCATTACTTTATTTTCCAGATCAACAGACTGGGCCACAGCAACGCCTGGCAGGGGACCGCTAGTATAATAATAAATATTTTAAAAAAGCTGCAATACTGAAAAGGGGCTTTTTTTCTTCATTGTGGGCCTCTGATATTTTATTGTTTTGCTGTGCATTTATTGTTTCAGCTTTGATTCTGAGTTGGCTTGAAACACACTTGTTCCAAAAAGATTGAAATAGAAATCTGCAATAAACAAATTGGCAGGAGCAATGTTTGCTTTTGAAAGAGGTGAATTCAAGCTCCGGGTCATTCCCATATGCAAATATTAAAATAGAATTAAATATCATTAGTACTAAAAACAATTTGGTTATAAACCAAATTCACAGAGATTCTACATCCATATGATATGCATTAACTGTGTTGCAAGTATACTGCCCTGTCTGGAAATGTTTTGCTAGGTCAGTGGTTCTCAACCTTTCTAATGACGTGACCCCTAAATACAGTTCCTCAGGTTGTGGTGACCCCCAACCATATTTTTGTTGCTACGTCATAACTGCTACTGTTATGAATTGTAATGCAAATATCTGATATGCAGGATGTATTTTCATTGTTATAAATCGCGACCCCCGGAAAATGGCCCACTGACCCCCTTGGGGGCCGCAACCCACAGGTTGAGAACCGCTGTGCTAGGGGCACACCATTAACACGTTGCCAAGTAAACAATGCAATGCAAAAGGTGATGCCATGTTACGGAACAAGTCTCCACTCACCGCTGAAGACTTTCTTGGTCTCCTTGTGCAGGTTGGAGACGGCGATCCTAGCGGCGAGGATGGCGTAGTCGGGGTGCTTGGTGGTCAGGGTGGCGGCTGTCTCAGCGGCCAGAGTGTCCAGCTCCACGGTGGTGACGCCGCTATAGAGGCCCTGGATCACTTTCATGGTGATCTGAGCCTGGACAAGGACGAAGCAGAACGTCCACAGGCAAGTTGGTCTGAAGCATCCCAAAAAAAATTCTAATAAAGAGGGGGTTTTCACAGCGCTTCTGACTTTTGCAGCTTTCCCTCCACATAAAACATTAATATCTGTCAAGCTAAGGCGCAACTTGACAGAAGCAAATGCTGGATCCACCAGATACAGCTCTGTAAAATCATGGACTCTGGAGACGTCAGGTTACACCGAAAACTCAGTTTACTAAGCACATCCATCTTCAGCGAGTGACACACAAGAAAAAACGTAAGTCAAAACAGTTCTTTTGCAGCTGCTTAGCTCTTCTGCTCCAAGTGGTTAACTCCCTAATTTTTCTCAGCAGCAGAGAGCTTATCTTAAGGTCACTCAATCACAGCCTCAACATAAACATTTCAGCATAGCATTACACTCTAAGTGGCATCCATATTGGTAATATCTACACAAATGACCAGTCACTGCCAGAAGGGACAGAGAGTTTCATCTATGCTGATGATCGTGCCATTACTGCTCAAGCAAGGAGCTTTGAGATGGTTGAACAGAAGCTTTCCGAAGCTCTAGGTGCCCTTACTGCCTATGACAGGGAAAACCAGCTGATCCCCAACCCATCTAAAACACAGACATGTGCCTTTCACCTCAAGAACAGACAAGCATCCCGAGCTCTGAGGATTATTATCTGGGAAGGAATCGCACTGGAGCATTGCAGCACACCCCAAATACCTGGGAGTCACTCTGGACCGTGCTCTGACCTACAAGAAGCACTGCCTGAACATCAAGCAAAAAGTGGGTGCTAGAAACAATATCATACGAAAGCTGACTGGCACAACCTGGAGATCACAACCAGACACAGTGAAGACATCTGCCCTTGCGCTATGCTACTCTGCTGCTGAGTACGCATGCCCAATGTGGAACACATCTCACGATGCTAAAACAGTAAATGTGGCTATTAATGAAACATGCCGCATTCATAGGGTGTCTGCGCCCTACACCACTGGAGAAATTACACTGCTTAGCCGGTATTGCACCACCTCACATCCGCCGGGAAGTAGCAGCCAATAGTGAAAGGACCAAGGCAGAGACATCTCCAGCTCATCCCCTGTTTGGGTATCAGCCAGCACGTCAACGACTTAAATAGAAATAGTTTTCTAAGATCTACAGAGACACTCGCTGGAACACCTCAGCAAGCGAGAGTCCAAAAGTGGCAGGCTCAAACCCAGAACCTCAACCAATGGCTGATCCCAAATGAGAGACTCCCCCCTGGGCACACAGAGGACTGGGCGACTTGGAAGGCGCTGAACAGACTGCGCTCTGGCACGAGATGCAGAGCCAACCTTCAGAAATGGGGCTACAAAGTGGAATCCTCGACATGCGAGTGTGGAGAAGAGCAAACCACTGACCACCTGCTGCAATGCAACCTGAGCCCTGCCACATGCACCGGGAGGACCTTCTTGCGGCAACACCAGAGGCACTCCAAGTGGCCAGATACTGGTCAAAGGACATTTAATCAACTACCAAACTCACACATTTTGTATTTTCTCTGTTTGTTTGCTTTGTTCTGTTAGAAATGTAATATAATTGACTGGCTGCCCTGACACGAGAAATAAATAAATAAAATTGGTAATACAAGAATTACATTTAAAACACAAAATTATATCTCAATAAATCCTGACAATAGCCTCCCCTCATAACAGCTCTGGGGACAAACCTTGAAACAAGATTTAAAAAACAGCTGGAGGAAATATCAGAGATAAGTAGAGTTGACTAAATATCAATTTTTAACCCAGAAAATGAGTTATAGACGAGACTAAAGAATGGACCGAAATTACAAAAATATATGATAGAAGCTGCACAAAAGCAAATTTGCCTGGGGTTGGAAAGAGAACAGAAAATGGGCAATAATAAGAAATTGTTTGAATATGTATTGTCGAAGGCTTTCATGGCTGGAATCACTGGGTTGTTGTAGGTTTTTCTGGGCTTTATGGCCATGTTCTAGAGCAGTGGTTCTCAACCTGTGGGTCCCCAGGTGTTTTGGCCTACAACTCCCAGAAATCCCAGCCAGTTTACCAGCTGTTAGGATTTCTGGGAGTTGAAGGCCAAAACATCTGGGGACCCACAGGTTGAGAACCACTGTTCTAGAGGCATTTTCTCCTGACGTTTCACCTGCATCTATGGCAAGCATCCTCAGAGGTAGTGAGGTCTGTTGGAACTAGGAAAAAAGGGTTAATATATCTGTGGAATGACCAGAGAAAGGAGAAATCAGCCATAGCAGAGCACCTGAGGGACCAACCTGGACACAGCATATTATTTGAGAACACAGAAATGCTGGACCACACCAACAACCACCATGTCAGGCTACACAGAGAAGCCATTGAAATCCACAAGCATGTGGACAATTTCAACAGAAAGGAAGAAACCATGAAAATGAACAAAATCTGGCTACCAGTATTAAAAACTCTAAAATTACAACAGCAAAACAACAGAGAGTAAACAATCAGGCACATCTAATCACCTCTCAACAAAAGATTCCCCCAGGCACTGCCAAGCCATCAAATGCTAATTAAGGTGGTCAGTTGAAACATTCACACCTAGCTCCAGCAGACAAGAGTCCTTTGTCCCACCCTGGTCATTCCACAGATATATAAACCCATTTTTCTAGTTCCAACAGACCTCACTACCTCTGAGGATGCTTGCCATAGATGCAGGCGAAACATCAGGAGAGAATGCCTCTAGAACATGGCCATTTAGCCCGTAAAAACCTACAACAACCCAATGGTTTGAATACTTTGCAGACTACATGATTCATAATATTACTGAAAGGGGAATTAAATATATGAATGGACATTCTAAGGAGAACTGGGAGTCAAAATGGAAAGAGCTGATAGCTAGAGTAAAAGGGAAGAGAAAATACAAGGAACTGAATCAGATAATAATAATAATAATAATAATAATAATAATAATAATCTTTATTTATACCCCGCCACCATCTCCCCAAAGAGACTCGGGGCGGCTAACATGAGGCCGAGCCCAAGCAAATTACAATAGAGCAAAAATACATATAAACAAAAACAATGACATCAAATAAAATATTTAACAATATATAAAATAACAGAATAAAATAAACAATGCAACATAACATAATAAAAAATCAAACACAAAGGGCGGGCCAAATGCATGAGCTAAAATGTTAAAACCCTGGATGAGATGGGAATAAAAGTGTGTATAAAAAGTGTATTTGTAAGGGAGGAGCCCAAGAAGGGGGAGCAGTGGGGTTTGGCCTTTATTAAGGACAGAAATAAGTGCATCATGACGACAACTGCAGATGAAAACAAACCAAATGGACAGCTGTAGATGAAAACAAAAAGGATCCGGCCTTTCCTCTGTATAAAATGCTCAAGGGGCTCCGCCATTCTGATTTCGCCTTGTTTACTTCTAGACAGGCCCATAGCAGGAGGTCTATGGGGAGGAACGCTGAAGCCACTTACCGGATCCACGAAATCCAGATTAAGACCGTAGCACAGCTTCTGGATCCGGGAGGTGATCTTGTCAAACATGACGCGCTCATGGCGGCCATCTGTCAAAAAGAGAATAGGCTTTGTTCAGAAATAAAGAAAACAGGAAATACAAAGACAACAATATTTTATTATATATTGTTAGACAACAATATTTTATTATATATATTGCTAAAACTCAGTAGATTTCTAACTTTTTTTTAGAACAACTTGAGAAACTGCAAGTCACTTCTGGTATGAGAAAATTGGCCGTCTGCAAGGACATTGCGAAGGAGACACCCAAATGTTTGATGTTTTACCATCCTTGTAGGAGGCGTCTTTCATGTCCCTGCATGGGGAGCTGGAGCTGACAGAGGGAGCTCACTGGCACTCTCCCCGGATTCGAACCACTGACCTCTCGGACAGCACTCCTGCCAATACAATGGTTTAACCCAGTGGTTCTCAACCTGGGGTCCCCAGATGTTTTTGGCCTTCAACTCCCAGAAATCCTAACAGCTGGTAAACTAGCTGGGAATTCTGGGTACAAAACTTAGGCTCCCACCACACAGCTGTGTAAAATCCACATTGAACTGGATTATATGGCAGTATGGATTGAGATAATCCAGTTCAAAGTAGATATGGTGGATTATCTGCCTTGATATTCTGGGTGACATGGCTGTGTGGAAGGGTCCATTGCATTTTGTTCATTTTCATGGTCTCCTCCTTTCTGTTGAAATTGTCCGCATGCTGGTGGATTTCAATGGCTTCTCTGTGGACCACACCAACAACCACCATGTCAGACTACACAGAGAAGCCATTGAAATCCACAAGAAGCATGTGGACAATTTCAACAGAAAGGAGACCTTGAAAATGAACACAATCTGGCTACCAGTATTAAAAAACTCTAAAATTACAACAGCAAAACAGCAGAGAGGAAACACATCTTAACACCTCTCAACAAAAGATTTTCCCAGGCTCAGCCAGGCCTTCAAATGCTAATGAAGGTGGTCAGTTGAAACATTCACACCTAGCTCCAGCAGAGAAGAGCTCTTTGCCCCACCCCAGCCATTCCACAGATATATAAACCCATTGTCCTGATTCCAACAGACCTCACTACCTCTGAGGATGCTTGCCATAGATGCAGGCGAAACGTCAGGAGAAATGCCTCTAGAACATGGCCCTATAGCCCGAAAAAACCCACAAGAACCTAGTGATTCCAGCCATGAAAGCCTTCGACAATACAATATAATAATTCTTAATAATATAATAATTCTATATTATTATAATATATGATATCAATGTAATATTAATAACTCTATATTAATTATATAATATGTAATTAATATTATATTAATGTAATACCTGGAGGGCCATAGTTTGCCCATGCCTGTTATATTATTAATATTATATAATACATTCTATATATTATATAATATATAATAAAGATTATATTAATATAACACCTGGAAGGCCATAGTTTGTCCATGCCGGTTATACTATTAGCATTATATAATACAGTGTTTCTCAACCTAGGAGTCGGGACCCCTGAGGGGGTCGTGAGGGAGTGTCAAAGGGGTCACCAAAGACCATCAGAAAACATAGTAATTTTTGTTGGTCATTGGGATTCTGTGTGGGAAGTTTGACCCAATTCTATTGTTGGTCAAGTTCAGAATGCTCTTTGATTGTAGGTGAACTATAAATCCCAACAACTACAACTCCCAAATGTCAAGGCCTATTTTCCCCAGACTCCACCAGTGTTCACATTTGGGCATATTGAGTATTCGTGCCAAGTTTGGTCCAGATCCATCATTGCATGAATCCACGGCACTCGATGAACTACAACTCCCAAACTCAAGGTCAATTGCCCACCAAACCTTCCAGTGTTTTCCGTTGGTCATGGGAGTTCTGTGTGCCAAATTCGATTTAAATCCATCGCTGAATGCTCTTTGATTATAGGTGAACTATAAATCCCAGCAACTACAACCCCCAAATGACAAAATCAATCCTCCCCCCAACCCCACTAGCATTCACATTTGGGCATATTGGGTATTTGTGCTCAATTTAGTCCAGGGAATGAAAATCCATCCTGCATATCAGATATTTACATTGTGATTTATGACAGTAGTAAAATGACAAGTAGCAACGAAAACAATATTACGGTTGGGGGTCACCACAACATTGGGAACATTAGCAAGGTTGAGAACCACTGATATAATACATTCTATATATTAATTATATATAACTATATATAGCTAATATCATACCCATTTTTGCCTGAAATTTACCTCCAATGTTTCTAATTTTCTGGAAGAGGTCTCTTGTCCTTCCTATTCTGTTGTCTTCTTCCACTTCCATGCATTGCTTGTTTGAAAATGGTTCCTTATCTCTTCTGGCTGACCTCTGGAATTGCGCATTTAACTGGGCATATCTCCCCTTATCCCTGTTTCCTTTTGCTTTCCTCCTTTCTTGGGCTACTTCCAGTGTCTCAGCAGACAACCATTTTGCCTTCTTGGTTTCTTTTTCTTTGGGACGTGCTTTGTTGCCGCCTCCTGAACAATGTCTCGGACTTCTGTCCATAGTTCTCCTGGGACTCTGTTTACTAAATCTAGTCCTTCAAATCTGTTCTTCGCTTCCACTGTAGTGGGATCATATCTAACCGGTCTGTGTATTTTCCCTGATCTCTTTAGTTTTATTCTAAATTGAGCAATAAGAAGTTTGTGATCTGAGCCACAGTCAGCCCCAGGTCTTGTTTTCACCGACTGGATGGATGTCCGCCACCTTTGGCTGCAAAGGATGTAGTCAATCTGATTTCGGTGTTGACCATCTGGTGAAGTCCATGTATAAAGCCGTCTTTTAGGTTGTTGGAAGAAAGTGTTTGTTATACACAGCGAGTTTTCCTGGCAAAATTCTATCAGCCTGCGTCCCGCTTCATTTTGTTCTCCCAGACCATGCTTGCCTGTGATCCCAGTTGTCATTTGACTTCCCACCTTGGCATTCCAGTCTCCTGTAATGAAAATAATGTCTCTTTTTGGTGTCTTATCCAGTAGTTCCTGCAGATCCTCATAGAACTGATCTACTTCTGCTTCTTCAGCAGCTGTGGTTGGGGCGTATATTTGGATCACTGTAATGTTGAAAGGCTTTCCTTGCACTCGAATTGAGATCATTCTGTCGTTTTTTGGGTTGTATCCAAGCACCGCTTTAGCGAATTTCTTATTAATTATGAAGGCTACTCCATTTCTTCGATGTTCCTCTTGTCCGCAGTAGTAGATCTGGTGGTCATCTGATGTGGAGTGGCCCATTCCAGTCCACTTCAGTTCGCTGACCCCCAGAATGTCTATCTTTAGTCTTGACATCTCGCCAATAACAACATCCAATTTGCCCTGGCTCATAGATCTTACATTCCAGGTTCCTATGGTGTGTTGATCTTTAGAGCATCGGATTCGTCGTTCACCTCCGGTACCGTCGGCCGCTAGCCTTCCTTTCGGCTTTGAGCTAGCTGCGTCATCACATCTGGGGCTAGTTGAACTTATCCTCTGCTCCTCCCCAGTAGCATTTTGGCCATCTTCCGACCTGGGAGTCCCATCTTCAGAATAGGAAGGACACGAGACCTCTTCCAGAAAATTAGAAACATTGGAGGTAAATTTCAGGCAAAAATTGGTATGATAAGAAACAAAGATGGCAGGGACCTAACAGAAGCTGAAGAGATCAAGAGAAGGTGGCGAGACTACACAGAAGATCTGTATAGGAAGGATAATAATATCGAGGATAGTTTTGACGGTGTGGTGAATGAATTAGAACCAGACATCCTGAGGAGTGAGGCTTTATAGGCCAATGCCAGCACCTTGAATTGAACCCGGTAGCAAATCGGCAGCCAGTGGAGCTGGTACAACAAGGGGGTTGTATGCTCCCTGTGTCCCGCTCCTGTTAGTATCATGGCTGCCGCATGTTGGACCAATTGAAGCTTCCGGGCCGTCTTCAAAGGCAACCCCACATAGATACAATATATATTAATATAATACAATATATATATTAATATAACATTACTAATTCTATATATTAATTATATATAATTATATAGCTATTAATATAATAAACACAATACTAATAATTGGATATATTAATTATATATAGTTATTAATATATTATGTAATATATTATACTATGTTAATATAACAATAATTCTATAGAATTATAGTTATTAATATAATATTAATAACTCTATATATTCATTATATAATTAATCTATTATTACAATAGTAATGATTTGATAGAATTATATAAAGTTATTATAATATGTAATATATTATATAATATTAATATAACATTCATAATTATGTATATTAATTATATATAATTATATAGTTTATAATATAATATATAATATTAATATAATATTAATAGTTGTATAGTTAATAATATAATATAATATATGTTATTATTGTGTATATATATTTTTATTGTGCTTTTTTATTATATATATTTATTTTAATACATACACAACACTTATAGTTCCCACCACCATGAGGATTGTTTACTTTTACATATTAATCCTTTTTGAGATGAACCTTATAGATTAACATTCTATATAACATTTGTCTCCTATTTCTTTCTTTCTCTTAAATATTTTTTAAATTAATTATTTGACATAATCTCATATATAATTAGAAAATATACGTTCAGAAATACTGGAACATGTCTAGATCTGTATGTAGACAGCAAGTTGTACAAAGTAGGTATAACATATACCATTCACTCGATTTTAAGACACTTTCAAAGGAAAATTCATGCAAACTATTCCTAACTAGAATGTATCTAGCTAACATCAGTAGTGTCATCAGCTACTTATTGTATATTATTGTATCTATTTTACACAAATAATTCTATATATTAATTATATAGAATTATAGTTATTAATATAATATTAATAACTCTATATAATCATTATATAATTAATATATTAATACCATAGTAATGATTTGATATAATAATTATATAAAGTTATTAATATAATATGTAATATATTTTATAATATTAATATAACGTTCATAATTCTGTATATTAATTATATAGAATTATATAGTTTATAATATAATTGTTTAATATTTCAATAACAATTCTGTATATTAATTATATATAATTATATAGTTTATAATGTAATACATAATATTAATATAATATTAATAATTCTATATATTAATTATATATAATTATATATTATATAATGTTATTGTTGTATCTATATTATACTATGTTAATATAACAATAATTCTATAGAATTATAGTTATTAATATAATATTAATAACTATATATTCATTATATAATTAATCTATTATTACAATAGTAATGATTTGATAGAATTATATAAAGTTATTATAATATGTAATATATTATATAATATTAATATAACATTCATAATTATGTATATTAATTATATATAATTATATAGTTTATAATATAATATATAATATTAATATAATATTAATAATTATATAGTTAATAATATAATATAATATATGTTATTATTGTATATATTTTACACAAATAATTCTATATATTAATTATATATAGTTATTAATATATGTAATATATTATATAATATTAATATAACATTAACAATTCTGTATAATAATTATATAGTTATTAATACAATACTAATAATTTGATATATTAACAATATATAGTTATAATATAATATTTAATATAATATTAATATGACATTAATAATTCTCTATATTAGTTATATATAATTGTATAGTTCCTAATATAATGTTTATAATGTATAGTTTATAATGTAATATTAATATAATATTAATAATTATATAGTTAATAATATAATATAATATATGTTATTATTGTATATATTTTACAGAAATAGTTCTATATATTAATTATATATAATTATAGTTATTAATATAATATGTAATATATTATATAATATTAATATAACATTAACAATTCTGTATAATAATTATATAGTTATTAATACAATACTAATAATTTGATATATTAACAATATATAGTTATAATATTTAATATAATATTAATATGACATTAATAATTCTCTATATTAGTTATATATAATTGTATAGTTCCTAATATAATAAATTAGTATTATTACATTACAATGTTATTGTTGTATCTATTTTACAGAAATAGTTCTATATATTAATTATATAGAATTATAGTTATTAATATAATATGTAATATATTATATAATATTAATATAATATTAATAACTATATATATTAATTATATATCATTATCTAGTTATTAATACAATACTAATAATTTGATATATTAACAATATATAGTTATAATATAATATTTAATATAATATTAATATGACATTAATAATTCTCTATATTAGTTATATATAATTGTACAGTTACTAATATAATAAATTAGTATTATTACATTACAATGTTATTGTTGTATCTATTTTACAGAAATAGTTCTATATATTAATTATATAGAATTATAGTTATTAATATAATATGTAATATATTATATAATATTAATATAATATTAATAACTATATATATTAATTATATATCATTATCTAGTTATTAATACAATACTAATAATTTGATATATTAACAATATATAGTTATAATATAATATTTAATATAATATTAATATGACATTAATAATTCTCTATATTAGTTATATATAATTGTATAGTTCCTAATATAATAAATTAGTATTATTACATTACAATGTTATTGTTGTATCTATTTTACAGAAATAGTTCTATATATTAATTATATAGAATTATAGTTATTAATATAATATGTAATATATTATATAATATTAATATAACATTAACAATTCTGTATAATAATTATATAGTTATTAATACAATACTAATAATTTGATATATTAACAATATATAGTTATAATATAATATTTAATATAATATTAATATGACATTAATAATTCTCTATATTAGTTATATATAATTGTACAGTTACTAATATAATAAATTAGTATTATTACATTACAATGTTATTGTTGCATATATTTTACACACACACGAAAACTTAAGTTCTATGAAAACTACATATTATTATTATTATTATTATTATTATTTCATATGAAAACGAATCTCTATTCAAATGCACGAAACAAAGGGTTATGATTGTTATGGTGATGTTTGCCTCTCTCTCTCCACAAAGAGTTCCAAAGCGGCTCCCATTAAATACTTCTATTAATTAAGAAGCCTACAGGGCTGGAACAGCATTAATAACCATTCAGATTAATTATTTATTCTCTCTCGGGAGTGCTGACCTCTCTTGACGACGTGCATGGCCTCCTCCTCGGGCGTCCTCCTTCCCTCTGTGAGTCGAAGTGCCTCTTTCCCGCTCTCCCGCCAACTGTCGATGTCCCTCTTGCGCCGCCGTAGCTCCGCCCACTCGCCGCCGCCATCTTGACTAAGGGCATATCCTACCATTCGTTCCCCGCCAGGCGCCAGGAAGTGAGGGGAAAAGGGGCGGGGCTATCTCCGCCCGAGAAGAAAATGGCGCCCGCGCAGGCGCACTCTGCCTTTTACCTCAGAAAAGGGCTTGGTTTCTTTTGGCGCCTTTTTCATTTCTGAAGGAGAGTGTGAGTGAGGCAACTTCTGGAAGCCATGGACACCATTATACACACCTTTCTCTCTATATTCTGGGCACCACAATTCAAGAGAGAGATTGACTCTAAGCTGGAATGTGTCCAGAGGAGGGCGACTAAAATGATCAAGGGTCTGGAGAACAAGCCCTATGAGGAGCGGCTTAAGGAGCTGGGCATGTTTAGCCTGAAGAAGAGAAGGCTGAGAGGAGACATGATAGGGCCATGTATAAATATGTGAGAGGAAGCCACAGGGAGGAGGAGGGAACTGATCAAGGGTCTGGAGAACAAGCCCTATGAGGAGCGGCTTAAGGAGCTGGGCATGTTTAGCCTGAAGAAGAGAAGGCTGAGAGGAGATATGATGAGGGCCATGTATAAATATGTGAGAGGAAGCCACAGGGAGGAGGGAGCTGATCAAGGGTCTGGAGAACAAGCCCTATGAGGAGCGGCTTAAGGAGCTGGGCATGTTTAGCCTGAAGAAGAGAAGGCTGAGAGGAGACATGATGAGGGCCATGTATAAATATGTGAGAGGAAGCCACAGGGAGGAGGGAGCTGATCAAGGGTCTGGAGAACAAGCCCTATGAGGAGCGGCTTAAGGAGCTGGGCATGTTTAGCCTGAAGAAGAGAAGGCTGAGAGGAGACATGATGAGGGCCATGTATAAATATGTGAGAGGAAGCCACAGGGAGGAGGGAGCTGATCAAGGGTCTGGAGAACAAGCCCTATGAGGAGCGGCTTAAGGAGCTGGGCATGTTTAGCCTGAAGAAGAGAAGGCTGAGAGGAGACATGATGAGGGCCATGTATAAATATGTGAGAGGAAGCCACAGGGAGGAGGGAGCAAGCTTGTTTTCTGCTTCCCTGGAGATAGGAGCTGGCATGTTTAGCCTGAAGAAGAGAAGGCTGAGAGGAGATATGATGAGGGCCATGTATAAATATGTGAGAGGAAGCCACAGGGAGGAGGGAGCTGATCAAGGGTCTGGAGAACAAGCCCTATGAGGAGTGGCTTAAGGAGCTGGGCATGTTTAGCCTGAAGAAGAGAAGGCTGAGAGGAGATATGATGAGGGCCATGTATAAATATGTGAGAGGAAGCCACAGGGAGGAGGGAGCAAGCTTGTTTTCTGCTTCCCTGGAGACTAGGACGCAATGGAACAATGGCTTCAAACTACAAGAGAGGAGATTCCACCTGAACATGAGGAAGAACTTCCTGACTGAGAGCCGTTCAGCAGTGGAACTCTCTGCCCCGGAGTGTGGTGGAGGCTCCTTCTTTGGAAGCTTTTAAACAGAGGCTGGATGGCCATCTGTCGGGGGTGATTTGAATGATATTTTCCTGCTTCTTGGCAGGGGGTTGGACTGGATGGCCCATGAGGTCTCTTCCAACTCTATGATTCTAATGAAAATGCTTAGAGGGTTGCCAATATCCGCTGGATAATGGAGAAAGGCAGGGAGTTTCAGAAAAGCATCTACTTCTGCTTCATTGACTATTCTAAAGCCTTTGACTGTGTGGATCATAATAAATTGTGGCAAGTTCTTAGTGGGATGGGCATCCCAAGCCACCTTGTCTCTCTCCTGAGGAATCTGTACAAGGACCAAGGAGCAACAGTCAGAACTGACCATGGAACAACAGACTGGTTCAAGATTGGGAAAGGCGTGCGGCAAGGCTGCATCCTCTCCCCCAACCTTTTTAACTTGTAGGCAGAACACATCATGCGATGTGCGGGGCTTGATGAATGCAAAGCTGGGGTGAAAATTGCTGGAAGAAACATTAACAACCTCAGATATGCAGATGACACCACTCTGATGGCCGAAAGCGAGGAGGAGCTGAGGAGCCTTCTAATCAAGAAGGAAGCGCAAAAGCCGGGTTGCAGCTAAACGTCAAAAAAACCAAGATTATGGCAACAAGAATGATTGACAACTGGAAAATAGAGGGAGAAATGTGGAGGCCGTGACAGACTTTGTATTTCTAGGCGCAAAGATTACTGCAGATGCAGACTGTGGCCAGGAAATCAGAAGACGCTTACTTCTTGGGAGGAGAGCAATGTCTAATCTCGATAAAATAGTAAAGAGTAGAGACATCAGACTGGCAACAAAGATCCATTGCCTAGTCAAAGCCATGGTCTTCCCTGTAGTAACCTACGGATGTGAGAGCTGGACCTTAGGGAAGGCTGAGCGAAGGAAGATCGATGCTTTTGAGCTGTGGTGTTGGAGGAAAGTTCTGAGAGTGCCTTGGACTGCGAGAAGATCCAACCAGTCCATCCTCCAGGAAATAAAGCCCAACTGCTCCTGGCCGAGCATCTCCCCCCCCCCTCCCAAGTACTTATAGTTCTGCCAAGGGCAAGGACACCAGACTACACAGCAAGGGTTAAGTCTTGGCCACATTGCCAAGGCACTGACAACAACAAGGACCCCATGAGGTTTTTTTTGGGAAATGGCTGGACCTTGGGACTTCTGCCCTTTTGTGGGAGTTGTAGTTCCCCAAGGGCTGAGCGATGGATTCTGTTATTGATCAACCCAGCGCCCATCACTGGACTTCTGCCTTTTCTTATTGACTCTCTGCTTCATGAACTGAACTGTTTGCCACATCCCTGGCCACGAACTTCCTTCTGGTGCTTGCCTTGAAATGCAAGCAGCCTCCGTTTCCACGTACCTTTGCCAAAGGACTATGAGATCTCCAGTTTGCGTTATAATAAAGATCCAATATTGTAATAAACTTTGCTTGGGATGGGGATGGGATTGCCTTATGAAATATATATATGAAGTATATGAAATGTATGTATGTAATGAAATATCATGAAATGTACTCTGGTTCCCCTCCCTGCTTCTCCTCTTTGACCCTTGCCCCAAAAGGAATGTGACCTAAGGATTACTGTGACAGGGAGGAAACCCTTTGTCCTCCCGAAATGGTTCATATTTACATTTGCATGGGCCGTGCGGTTGATCCCCTTCTCAAACTAACTTTCAGAGCAGACAGTAAGGGGGGAAGGGTCAACAGAAACTCAGGAAGAAAAGACTGATTGTATCATTTTTAGGTATTTGTTGATCCCCCTTGTTTACAAGGCCCTGAGGTCCAAATACCATCAAAAGCTCCTTTTCATACTTCCTCCCAAATCCCATCACAGACCAGGAAACTCATTGTTCTCCTATCTAACACCCCGCCGTGTAAAAAACAAAGCCACACAGATGCCCCAAAGGCTGTCATTTCCTCAGTCTTTGTCAGGCTTCGTCCCGCCTCCTGGCTGCCGATTGGTCCATCTTCCAAGGCGCTGATTGGCCCCCTAGAGGCAGCGGAGCCCGCTGATTGGTCAGGAGGCGGGGCGTGCCGCCAAGCCTCCTCCCAGCTGTTCCGCGGCCAGCCAATCAGAGCGAAGCCGGCCGGCAGAGGGCGGGCGGGATTTTTGAAACTGTTTTCCTTTGTGTACTATAAAAATGCTTGGAAATTCTGTAAAATTATGCTTGTGGTGGAATGATCCCTGCAATGCATCTGATTACAGCTGAATCACAATAAACCTCGATTGCTGAAAAACTTCTTCCACTTGGATGAGGCATTATTATTTGTAATATTTTACTCTTTGGATTGGCTCTCGCTGGCCTCACCAAGGGACCCAGAGCCCTTTAGGCGCGGTCCTCGGGCTTCTCCCTGAAAGGAGACCCTACTAAAAACAGCTCGATATCAATTGGAGGGAAGGAGACTAGAGACAAAGTTGAAGTCCTTTGGCCACATCATGAGGAGACAGCAAAGCCTAGAGAAGGGAATGATGCTGGGGAAAGTGGAAGGCAAAGGAAGAGGGGCCGACCAAGGGCAAGATGGATGGATGGCATCCTTGAAGTGACTGGACTGACCTTGAAGGAGCTGGGGGTGGTGACGGCCGACAGGGAGCTCTGGCCTGGTCACGAAAAGTCGGAAGCGACTGAACGAATGAACAACAACAAAGAGAAGCCATTGAAATGCTTGCATGCTGGTCGCTTCTGTAGCAAGAGAATCAGCTGTCTACGAAGACGTTGCCCAGGGGATGCCCGGATGTCTTGCAATCCTGCGAGGAGGCTTTTCTCATGTCCAGCTCATCCCCTGTTTGGGTATCAGCCAGCACGTCAACGACTTAAACCTAGGAATAGTTTTCTAAGATCTACAGAGACACTCGCTGGAACACCTCAGCAAGCGAGAGTCCAAAAGTGGCAGGCTCAAACCTGGAAACTCAACCAATGGCTGATACCCAATGAGAGACTCCCCCCTGGGCACTCAGAAGACTGGGCGACTTGGAAAGCGCTGAACAGACTGCGCTCTGGCACCACGACATGCAGAGCCAATCTTAAGAAATGGGGCCACAAAGAGGAATCCACGACATGCAAGTGCGGAGAAGAGCAAACCACTGACCACCTGCTGCAATGCAACCTGAGCTCTGCCACATACACAATGGAGGATTTTCATGCAGCAACACCAGAGGCACTCCAAGTGGCCAGATACTGGTCAAAGGACATTTAATAGAATGCCAAGTCTGCAAACTTTGTGTTTTTTTGTTTGTTTTTAATGCAATACAACTGTTTTGGTTTGCTCCTGACACAATAAATAAAAAGTGCTCTCTGGATAAGGGTGAACGACAACTTCCAGAGAAAAGGTCAATCCCAAACCAGGCCTATATGCACAGTTGGCCATATTGGGTCTGTTTGCTAAATTTGGTCCCGATCCAAAGTTGGCTGGGTTCAGTGCTCTGTGGATAAGGGTGAACTATTTATTTATTACGGTTGCTTATACCCCGCCCTTCTCACCCGGGGGGACTCAGGGCGGCTTACACAAACAAGGCACAATTCGATGCCTGTATTACAAAACATAACATCCAAAACATAACATCAATAACTACTACAACTTCCAGAGCCAAGTTCAATCACTCCCAAACTAAGCCTATATGCACAGTTGGCCATGTTGGGTCTGTGTGCCAAATTTGGTCCAGATGTGACGTTTGCCGGGTTAAGTGCTTTCTGCGTAAGGGTAAACTACAATTCCAGAAATTAAGGTCAGTGCCTACAAACCTCTGCAGTATGTTCAGTTGGCCATGGGGCTTATCTGTGCCAAGTTTGGTGCTGGTCCAGTTGAACACAGAAACCCCCATTTTCAAATTGATCTAACCGCAGCAGGGAGTTCCACAGTTCCTGGGTGTATGGATTTTCCAAATAACAACAAGACAGTGGTAGCAGCAACAGCTACAATATCTGTCTATATCTGTTGTGTGTCTTGGCATTGAATGTTTGCCATATATGTGTATATTGTAATCCGCCCTGAGTCCCCTGCCGGGTGAGGAGAAGGGCGGAATATAAATACTGTAAATAAATAAATACAACAAGGAACTCTTCTTTTCCTCCCTTTCAGATTCCTCTAGCCATCTAGTGACAATTCCCTAATAAAAAGTATAATTTTTTCCTAACTTTCCGCTCTCTGCATAATACATTGTGTCCTTTACTAGCTTTACTATGGTTTAACCATGAACCTACTCTCTCTTGAGCCGTGAAGCCCCGCGTGCTTGACTTCTAACTGTGCTAAAACACAAAAGAGACATGCACAAGAAGTGGAAAAAGGGAGAAATCACCAATGAAGAATTCAAACAAATAGCCAACACCTGTAGTCCCGGGGGCCACGGAACTGCTATCCTTTAAACCACGGATATCGTTACCCACCCGGTTTCGGTGTCCGCGACTTAACTGACCTGTTTCGAATCAACTCTTATTTTCTTCCTTGATTAATTATAACACTAACTGCTATCTCGCTTTAGGCTGAACTGACCCTTGCGTCCCTCAGATCCACTTTTTCTCCATCCAAAAATACCTTTGTGGAAACCAAAAGACTCGGAATGTCAAAAGGTTACAGTGTATAAAAATGTCTGTTTTGCAAATGTGCTGTATCTCTGCTTCCTTTGGCACATTACTGTGGGCTGGCATCACTTCGTCTGACTTAAACATCTCGGAGGCTTCTTCTTGTTAGTGAGATTTATTTGGAAACACTGGATAGCTTCTTTGTCTCGGATTAATGGGAAAACCCCTCAGGATCCCGTTGAAACAAACACAGCTTCCTGCAGAACTGTTGTCGTTCCTTAGACTTCTCTGCAGGTGCTGCTCTTTCCCCATCGTTTTTGTCTTGCCTTCTGACTTGCATCTCAAGGCAGAAACCAATGGAATCCATCCTTTGCCCACAGCAGACGGGAAGTGACACACGATGATTCATTGGGTCTCCATTTCATCAGGGTTGTCACTCTGGATATAGAATCATAGAATCAATGAGTTGGAAGAGACCTCATGGGCATCCAGTCCAACCCCATTCTGCCAAGAAGCAGGAATATTGCATTCAAATCACCCCTGACAGATGGCCATCCAGCCTCTGTTTAAAAGCTTCCAAAGAAGGAGCCTCCACCTCTGGGGCAGAGAGTTCCACTGCTGAATGGCTCTCACAGTCAGGAAGTTCTTCCTCATGTTCAGATGGAATCTCCTCTCTTGTAGTTTGAAGCCATTGTTCCGCGTCCTAGTCTCCAAGGAAGCAGAAACAAGCTTGCTCCCTCCTCCCTGTGGCTTCCTCTCACATATTTATACATGGCTATCATATCTCCTCTCAGCCTTCTCTTCTTCAGGCTAAACATGCCCAGCTCCTTAAGCCGCTCCTCATAGGGCTTGTTCTCCAGACCCTTGATCATTTGAGTCGCCCTCCTCTGGACACATTCCAGCTTAGGGTCAATATCTCTCTTGAATTGTGGTGCCCAGAATTGGACACAATATTCCAGGTAAAGTGGTCTAACCAAAGCGGAAGAGAGCATGGGGAGCATGACTTCCCTAGATCTAGACACTAGGCTCCTCTTGATGCAGGCCAAAATCCCATTGGCTTTTTTTGCCGCCACATCACATTCCTGGCTCATGTTTAACTTCCTCCCCACGAGGACTCCAAGATCTTTTTCACACGTCCTGCTCTCGAGCCAGGCCTCATTGTCCCCCATTCTGTATCTTTGCATTTTGTTTTTTCTGCCAGTGGAGTATCTTGCATTTGTCCCTGTTGAACTTCATTTTGTTAGTTTTGGCCCATCTCTCTAATCCCTCTTTGATTTTTGCACTTGAAGCAGTTTCTTACTCTTGACTTCCTATTATTATTATTATTATTATTATTATTATTATTATTATTATTATATGCCTGCCACATATGCAGGTGAAATGTCAGGAGAGAATGCTTCTGGAAAATGGCCATACAGCCTGAAAAACAGTCCTTGTCTCCAGGAGAAGGTAGGCAGGTGGCGCTCTCTCAGCCTCAAGGCAAGGCAAAGGGGAACCTCCTCTGGGTGAGGCCCAACTCCGAGGCAACCCCTCCCCTTTGGCCCCTGGTCCCGCCCACATCCCTGCCCCGAGGGGCGTGGCCTGAGCTGCCCAGGTGAGGCACCGGGCAGGTGAGACGCTTCCTCTCTACCTGCCTGCCTCCCTCCTTCACTGCAGGGCTTCCTCTTCTTCCTCTTTCTTGTAGCCTTTGAGGGCAAGGAGGAAGGAAGGAAGGGAGGGAGGGCGGAGGGCTCCTGTGGCCCCCCCGATGCAGCTTTCTCCCCCGGAGCCCTTGCAGGTGAGTCAGTCCTTTGAGGAGGGGGGGGTGCTGGGAGTTGCCCTGCCTGCCCCTTCCTCCTGGCGCCCCTCTCTCCTCTCCTGCTTTGGTCAGACCCCTCCACCTCTGGGAAAACAGCCCTCTGTCCAGTTTTGGGCAAAGCAGGAGAGGTTGACTCTCTTTGGAGGCTTGGAAGCAGAGCCTGGGGGGACATCTGTCTGGAGGGCTTTGAAGGCTATTTCCCTGCTTCTTGGCAGAATGGGGTTGGGCTGGATGATGGTAGGATTCCATGATTCTAAGTTGGAAGGGGTCCAGAGAAGGGCAATGACGGTCTGGAGACCATTCATCATCCCTCTGAGGAGCATCTTCAAGACCAGGGTCTAGGTGACTATCTGGAAGCAGAATGGGGTTGGACTGGATGATGGTCCACCAGGTCTCTTCCAACTCTAGGATTTTAAGCCAGAAGGGGTCCAGAGAAGGGCAATGATGACCTAGAGACCATGCATCATCCCTCTGAGGAGCATCTTCAAGACCAGGGTCTAGGTGACTATCTGGAAGCAGAATGGGGTTGGACTGGATGATGGTCCACCAGGTCTCTTCCAACTCTAGGATTTTAAGCCAGAAGGGGTCCAGAGAAGGGCAATGATGGTCTGGAGACCATGCATCATCCCTCTGAGGAGCATCTTCAAGACCAGGGTCTAGGTGACTATCTGGAAGCAGAATGGGGTTGGACTGGATGATGGTCCACCAGGTCTCTTCCAACTCTAGGATTTTAAGCCAGAAGGGGTCCAGAGAAGGGCAATGATGACCTAGAGACCATGCATCATCCCTCTGAGGAGCATCTTCAAGAGCAGGGTCTAGGTGGCTATCTGGAAGCAGAATGGGGTTGGACTGGATGATGGTCCACCAGGTCTCTTCTAACTCTAGGATTCTAAGCCAGAAGGGGTTCAGAGAAGGGCAATGACGGTCTGGAGACCATGCATCATCCCTCTGAGGAGCATCTTCAAGAGCAGGGTCTAGGTGGCTATCTGTTGGGGGTGCTTTGAAGGCGATTTACCTGCTTCTTGGCTGAATGGGGTTGGACTCACTGGATGATGGTCCACCAGGTCTCTTCCAACTCTAGGATTCTAAGCTGGAAGGGGTCCAGAGAAGGGCAATGACTGTCTGGAGACCATGCATCATCCCACTGAGGAGCACCTTCAAGAGCAGGGTCTAGGTGGCTATCTGTCTGGAGGGCTTTGAAGGCAATTTCCCTGCTTCTTGGCAGAATGGGGTTGGACTGGGAGACCCACCAGGTCTCTTCCAACTCTAGGATTCCATGATTCTAAGTTGGAAAGGGTTCAGAGAAGGGCAGTGACGGTCTGGAAACCATGCATCATCTCTCTGAGGACCATCTTCAAGAGCAGGGTCTAGGTGGCCATCTGTCAGTGGGGCTTTGAAGGTGATTTCCCTGCTTCTTGGCAGAATGGGGTTGGGCTGGATAATGGTCCACCAGGTCTCTTCCAACTCTAGGATTCTAAGCTGGAAGGGGTCCAGAGAAGGGCAATGATGGTCTGGAGACCATGCATCATCCCTCTGAGGAGCATCTTCAAGAGCAGGGTCTAGGTGGCCATCTGTCGGGGGTGCTTTGAAGGCGATTTCCCTGCTTCTTGGCAGAATGGGGTTGGACTGGATGATGGTCCACCAGGTGTCTTCCAAGGATTCTAGGATTCTCAGTTGGAAGGGGTTCCGAGAAGGGCAATGATGACCTGGAGACCATCGTCCCTCTGAGGAGCATCTTCAAGATCAGGGTCTGGGTTGCTGTGAGTTTTCCTGGCTGGCTGGCCATCTTCCAGTAGCATTCTCTCCTGAAGTTTCACTTGCATCTGTGGCCAATGGCATCTTCTGAGGTTGTGTTGCTAGTGGGGCAAGTTGGGGTGTATAGATATACGAGGGTTGAATGAAAAGTAATGCCTCCACCTTCGTAACTCCTCAACAGATGGCAGTACTGGTATGCGGCAGGAACTAGCGTGTTCAGTAGACTCTCCTCTACAGTTCCATTTTGGCAGGAAGCCTTAGCATTGAACGGTTGTGTTGTTAAAGTGCGAAATATGGATCCCTGTGCAGATTGTCAGTCAATGCAACTTAAGCAATGTGCAGTCATTGAATTATTGACCGCAGAAGGTGTCACCTCAACATCTTTAAACTTTCTTGCCCAACAACACACAGTACTCACATCAACACAATCACCATAAACAGCTTGCATTCTCTGATGAATCTCCTTTGGGGTGATGCCTTCTGCTGTCAAAAAATTCAATGACGGTGCATTGCTTAAGTCGCATTGACTGACCATCTAGTCTTTCTTTATGGACTCTTAGAGTTAGAAAGGGCCCCCAAAGGCCATCCAGAAGGCCATCCAGAATGAGGGGGTGGTTCCTATCCTTCCAGATAGGAACACCCCCATCCAGACCTTCCCAACAGATGGCCATTAAGCCTCTCCTTAGAAACCTCCAGAGAAGGAAGGAGACCCAATGGACTTCCAGGCGGGAGCAGCAGTAGATTCCATGACCAAAGGGCTCCGGCTGCTAGGAAATTCTTCATTTCTGTGGCAGTAACCTCCCAATGGCCTGTTAGGGATCTCTGGTGAGTTTGCTATCTTGCCTTTGGAACATTATTATTATTATTATTATTATGGTATTTACTCATATCCTGCTTTTTCTCTCCACAAAGAGACTCAAAGCGGCTACCAATGCAAAAGGAAGGGGCCAGGGACAATTGCAAAAAGGACATCCATAAAACCCTCATTGCTGCTGTTATTGTAGGTTTTTTCAGACTATATGGCCATGTTCTAGAGGCATTCTCTCCTGACGCTTTGCCTGCATCTATGGCAAGCATCCTCAGAGGTAGTGAGGTCTGTTGGAACTAGGAAAAAGGGTTTATATATCTGTGGAATGACCAGGGTGGGACAAAGGACTCTTGTCTGCTGGAGCATGGTGTGAAAGTTTCAACTGACCACCTTGATTAGCATTTGATTGCCTGGCAGTGCCTGGAGCAATCTTTTGTTGAGAGGTGATTAGATGTCCTTGTTTGTTTCCTCTCTGTTGTTTTGCTGTTGTAATTTTCCTTTCTGTTGTTAATTGTCCACATGCTTGTGGATTTCAATGGCTTCTCTGTGTAGTCTGACATGGTGGTTGTGAGAGTGGTCCAGCATTTCTGTGTTCTCCGATAATATGCTGTGTCCAGGTTGGTTCCTCAGGTGCTCTGCTATGGCTGACTTCTCTGGTTGAAGTAGTCTGCAGTGCCTTTCATGTTCCTTGATCCGTGTTTGGGCAATGTTGCTGTGTTTGGTGGTCCCTCTGTAGACTTCTTGTCCACAGCTGCATGGTACACGGTAGACTCCTGCAGAGGTGAGAGGATCCCTCTTCTCCTTTGCTGAACGGAACATTTGTTGGATTGTCTTGCTGCCTTTTTAGCCACTTGGCATATTCCCGGAAACGGCTTCTGGATGGCGGCCAAGCCTTGTATTTGCTTTGGGGCTTTATAGGGTTGCCTTTAAGAACCGTTTCAGGCATGATAATCTTTGATTGATTGCTGTTTGCAGCCTGGCTTGAGCGCTCTCTTGCTCCCATGCGCGCACATGACACCCCTCCCCACCTGACACCTGTCTGAATTGCCCCCTGTGCTGCTTCCAAGATCTTGGAGTCCTCGTGGACAACAAGTTAAACATGAGCCAACAATGTGATGTGGCGGCAAAAAAAGCCAATGGGATTTTGGCCTGCATCAATAGGAGCATAGTGTCTAGATCTAGGGAAGTCATGCTCCCCATGCTCTATTCCGCTCTGGTTAGACCACTTTACCTGGAATATTGTGTCCAATTCTGGGCACCACAATTCAAGAGAGAGATTGACAAGCTGGAATGTGTCCAGAGGAGGGCGACTAAAATGATCAAGGGTCTGGAGAACAAGCCCTATGAGGAGCGGCTTAAGGAGCTGGGCATGTTTAGCCTGAAGAAGAGAAGGCTGAGAGGAGATATGATAGCCATGTATAAATATGTGAGAGGAAGCCACAGGGAGGAAGAGGAGGAGCAAGCTTGTTTTCTGCTTCCTTGGAGACTAGGACGCAAGGGAACAATGGCTTCAAACTACAAGAGAGGAGATTCCATCTGAACATGAGGAAGAACTTCCTGACTGAGAGAGCCGTTCAGCAGTGGAACTCTCTGCCCCGGAGTGTGGTGGAGGCTCCTTCTTTGGAAGCTTTTAAACAGAGGCTGGATGGCCATCTGTCAGGGGTGATTTGAATGCAATATTCCTGCTTCTTGGCAGAATGGGGTTGGACTGGATGGCCCGTGAGGTCTCTTCCAACTCTTTGATTTGATTCTATGATTCTATGATTCCCATGCAAGCTCTCACACACGGCACCCCTCCCCACCTGACACCTGTTTGAATTGCCTTGTGTGTTGCTTCCAGTCCTTGGATGCAAAAATCCCGGACCATTGGCGATGCAAGGAGAAGGCAAGGCAGCCAGACGAGGCAAGAGGCTGACATGGCTCCAGAAGCGCCTCTCTTCCACCGCCATGGCTCAGCCTCTTGCACTTGGCTGGACTTGCTCAAGGCTGGCCTTGCGTCACCAAAAAATGCCTCTTGTTTCCTGATGGGTTTGCAACCCAAGCCAAGCCCCGAGGCCACCACCGCCCTTTGAAGTTCAGGGCAAAAGAAATCCACCCACAAAACCAGAAAAGGCTGAAAGGCTTGCCCTGCCAAGAACGCATCTACACTGGAACATGAAGGGGGTTTGGCACCACTATCATCTGCCTGGTCTCAATGCTGTGGGATCCCGCTGGTCTCTTTGCTTGGCCCAGAGAGGGCTGCTGCTTTACCCAAACGTCTTCCTTCCTTTCTCTTCCCTTCTTTCCCTTTCTTCTTCCCTCCTTCTCTTTCTTCCCTCCTTCCTTCCTTCCTTTCTCTTTTTTTCTTCTTTCCTTCCTTCCTTCCTCTTTCCTTCTCTTCCTTCTTTTTCTTCCTCCTTCCTCCTTTCTTTCTTTTCTTCCCTCTCTCCTCTTTCCTCCTTCCTTTCTTTCATTCCTTCCTTCCTTCCGTCTTTTTTCTTCCCTTCATACTATTCCCTCTTTCCTTTCCCTTCCTTCTTTTTCTTTCTTCCTTCTTCCCTCCTTTCTTCCCACTCTTCATACATTTCCCTCCTTTCTTTCTTTTTATTACCTTTTTTCTTCCTCTTTTTTCTTCCTTCCCTTCATATTATTTCCCTCTTTCCTTTCCTTCCTTCTTTTTCTTTCTCTTCTTCTCTTTTCTTCCCTCTCTCCATACTTTCCCTCCTTCCCTTTCTTTTCATTCCCTTTTTTTCTTCCTCCTCCTCCTCCCTCCCTCCCTTCCTCTCTTTTTTCCTTCCCTTCTACTTTTCCTCTTTCCTTTCCTTTCCTTCCTTCTTTTTCCTTCTCCTTCCCCTTCTTCCTTCTTTTCTTCTCTCTCTTCATACATTTCCCTCCTTCCTTTCTTTTCATTCCCTTTTTTCTTCCTTCCTTCCTCTTTTTTCTTCCTTCCCTTCATACTATTCCCTCTTTCCTTTCCCTTCCTTCTTTTTCTTTCTTCCTTATTCCCTTCCTTTCTTTTCTTCCCTCTCTTCATACATTTCCCTCTTTCCTTTCTCTTCCTTCTTTTCCTTTCTACCTTCCCTTTCTTCTTCCTTCCTTCTTCTTTCTTTTCTCCCCCCTCTTTCCGTCTTTCCTTCTCTTCCCTCTTCTTCCCTTCTTCCTTCCTTCCTTCCTTCCTTCCTTCCTTCCTTCCTTCCTTCCTTCCTTCCTTCCTTCCTTCTTCTCTCCTTTCTTTCTTTGCTTTCTTTTTTGTAATTTCTCTCTCTCTTTCTTTTCTTCTTCCTCAAACCAAGATCTCATAGCATTGTGCCACAACAGCTATAATGTTGTCAAACTGTGTTCATTCTCCCGTGTGGATGCTCGCCATGCTAGGTATCTCCCAGGGTTTCCCCAGGCAGTCCTGCAAAGAGGTTGAAGGTGGACCTTTCAGGGCAAGGAAGCAGCTTTTTCTGCTCCAGTGTGTTGTGTGTGGTGTGTGGACGCACAGGAAGATCTGGCTGAACAGGTTGGCTAGAAGCTGAGTCCATGGCTTCTCTGGTTCAGGTGCGCATCCATGCACCCAATCCCCTACATTCTGTGGGGTGGCTGGATAGGTAAACATTGCAAACATAGGTGCCAGCAGAGAGGGCAAGATTCACTGTTTTCATGGCATCCTAAAGTTAGAAGAGACCTCCAAAGGCCATGCAGTCCCACCCCCTTCTGCAGGGCAAGAAGGTACAATCCAATCCCTCCCAACAGATGGCCACCCAGCTTCTGCTTAAAAACCTCCAGAGAAGGATACTCAACCGGACTCCCATCCTTATTTACTTTTACTTACGCAATCCCTCGTTATCTGAGTAAGATTGTCATCCAAGTGCAGTGTCCTGGTGGTGGGTGCGTAGGTGGCTGTGGAGTCCTATTCTTGACCCCATGTTCTTCCGTTTCCAGACGGAAGGCGGTCCTGGTCGGGGTTGGCTTGATGTGCCTTCCTCTTGGCACATTTCTCTCTTTTACCCTCAATCCGTGCCTCTTCGAATTCTACAGCACTGCTGGTCACAGCTGACCACCAGCTAGAGTGCTCAAGGGCCAGGGCTTCCCAGTTCTTTGTGTCTATGCCAGAGTTTTTAAGGTTGGTTTTGAGCCCAACTTTCAATCTCTTTTCCTGTCCTCCAACATTGCGTTTTCTGTTCTTGAGTTTGGAGTAGAGTAACTGCTTTGGGAGATGGTGGTCAGGCATTTGGACAAAGTGGCCTTCAGTCCAGTGGAGCTGATGGTGGAGGAGCATCACTTCAGTGCTGGTGGCCTTTGCTTCTTCCAGCACGTTGACATTTCCCTGCCTGTCTTCCCAAGAGATTTGCAGGATTTTTTGGAAGCAATGCTGATGGATTCGTTCTAGGAGTTGCATGTGACGTCTGTAGACAGTCCACATTTCACAGGCATAGAACAGGGTTGGGTGGACAATGGCTTTATAGACAAGCCCCTTGGTTTCCCTATGGATGTCCTGGTTCTCAAACACTCTCTGCTTCATTTGGAAGAATGCTGCACTCGCAGAGCTCAGGCAGTGTTGTATTTCGGTGTCAGTGTTGACTTTGGTGGAGAGGTGGCTGCCAAGGGAGCGGAAATGGTCCACATTTCCTAATGTGACACCATTAAGCTGTATCTCTGGCATTGGAGAGGGGTTGGCTGGTGACCACTGGAAGAGGACTTTGGTTTTCTCGATGTTCAATGACAGGCTGAGCTTCTCATATGATTCTCCCGTCAAGTCCATATTCCAGTGGAGATGGGTGGCACCTCCAAAGGCCACATAGCCCAACCCACCTTTTTCCAGGCAGGACACTCCATCCAAGCCCTCCTGACAGATGGCTATCCAGCCTCTCTTTATAGACTCCCAGGGCCCTTCCACACAGCCATATAACCCAGCATGCAAGGCAGAAAATCCCACAATATCTGCTTTGAACTGGGTTGCCTGTGTCCACACTACTATATATTCCAGAGCATATCATGTGGGATTTTGTTGAGCTGCGTGGAAGGGTCCCCAGACTGCACTGGTTCTTAGGAATGGTGGGAGTTGAAGTCCAAAACACCTGGGCGGAGGGCTGAAGTTGGCCCATGCTTTCCTTCAGAGTTCCTTTCCGGTGGCCCCTATTCATGCACAACAATCAGTGTCACAACAAACACTTACCCCCATGTGTTCCCCAATGACACAACTACAAGTCATGCCACTTTCCCTTCCTCCTCTGGCCTCCATTCTCTCTTCTCTAAAAGCCCCAAATGGTCATCTCTGTGGCTTCTGGCCCATCCTCCTCCATGCCTCGATCCTCATGTTGTCCTTCTGTCCTCCAGACGCAGGGCAGTGATGTCCAGCTCAACGGGGCCCTTCCGGAGGGCCACCCTTCACCTCCTGCCGCTGTCCAGACCCAGGCCGCGACCCTTGCGACCCCTGAAACCACTCCGGCCAGAGAGACGTGGGGCGGCCGGTATGAGTTCCTGCTCTCCTGCCTGGGATACTGCGTGGGGCTGGGCAACGTCTGGCGCTTCCCCTACCTCTGCTATCGCAATGGAGGAGGTAAGTGCCATCTATGGTCCAGAGGAGGAGGAGCTTCTGCTGCTGCTGTTGTTGTTTCTGTTGTTGTTATTATCCTATTTACTCCAATCTAACACTCACCCTTTTTGGCTAAAAGATCTGGCCGAAATTCGGGTCCGCATTAGATTGGCATAACATTCTCATAAAGCAAAAGGGGAATCTGCTCCGAGAGATCCTCTTTGAGGGACGTTATCTCCAATTTAGTGGCTATGGCCCAATCCTATGCAATGCTGGGATTTGTAGTTTGTGGTCCTTTACCAGAGAAGGCTCAAGACCTTGTCAAACTATAGACTCCATGATCCCATAGTATTGAACCAAGGCAATTAAAGTGTATTGTCGAAGGCTTTCATGGCTGGAATCACTAGGTTCTTGTGGGTTTTTTTGGGCTATAGGGCCATGTTTGAGAGGCATTCTCTCCTGACGTTTCGCCTGCATCTATGGCAAGCATCCTCAGAGGTAGTGAGGTCTGTTGGTAGTGAGGTCAATTAAAGTGGATTCATCCTACAGCCTAGATGTACCCTAAGGTTTTCTGCTTCAGATCTAACACGTTCCCGCTKTTTATGAAGCTTCCATCACTGATCCAGAAGTCCCAGAGGAGTTTGGCGTGTTCATTCTCTGTAACTTTTTCCGGCTTGTGATCCCACCAGTTCTTTGTCGCAGGCAGATGGTGTTTGTGGCACAAGTTCCAGTGGATCACCTGAGCAACARGTGTTGTGCCTCTGCTTGTAGTCTGTCTATCCGCGTGATCTTCTTGCAGCAGCTGAGGATGGGATCGATTGTTTCATCTGCTTCCTTGCAGAGTCTACATTTGGGATTTGTTGTCGACTTTTCAATTCTGGCTTTGATGGCCTTGTTTCTAATGGCTTGTTCTTGGGCTGGCAGAATCAGGCCCTCCTTCRTCTCCTTTTTTAGAGTTCCATTTGTGAACCACAGCCATGTTTTTTCCTTGTCCATTTGGCTCTCAGTTTTTCCCAGGAACTGTCCATGGAGAACCTTCTTCTTTGGCCAGTTTTCTCTTCTGCTTTGGATTGTAGAGCAATGCAAGTTTCTATGATTAGAGAAGGAAATCAGAAAATGTGTTGTGGCTCAGCAAGTGGCAGAGGATTTCCCAGAGGATGATAAGAGATTTGATAGATTTCAAAGTTAAAAAATCTGCTAGTGATCAGAGAGAATTGCAGACCAAGAAGGCCGTTGTGGATTTCCTGTGCTTGTTCACAGGCAATAGAAAGTGAAGATTTCTGTTTTCTTGTGAAATGGCTTTAGACCAATGGGGAGTTTTCCCAAGGAGCCAGATTAGGTTTAAGAACGGAGGGAGTGAAAAATTGATTCATCAGATATTCTGAGAGAATCCGTGAGAAGTTCTTGAAGCCCAGGTGCATTCAGCATGACCTCATGGGTTCTTGGTTGGTCTTAAATTAAGTGGTGTTTACTTTGTGTCCCTCAGAGGAGACAAAGTTGCCAAAGGATGTCATTCTTGTCTCGGCTCTCAAGTTAATGATTCAAGTTTCCTGTCTTTGCCTTGGTTCCTTGAAGGATTTTCCTTGGAAAAGCTCCTGTTTTCATGCTTTTGGATTTATGTTTGAATGACTGTTGTGGATTTTAGCTCTCTTGACCTCATGCACTTTGTCATTTTTGGATTGCTGCTATTTTGTATTTTCTACTCTACTGCATTTTGGGGAAATGCCTTTTCCCCCCTTATATATGCTTTCATTAATAAATTTTGTAGATAGTCCTACTGGACTCTGGTGTGGTGCTGGGTGAAAAGGTGTCTCAAGCCTAGAATGCAACAGAATGCTTGGCAAAGTCCAGTTCTGGATCATCAAGCCATTGATGAGTAGTTACTTTTGAGAGACAGATAAGTGCTTAATGGATTCTCTTTTGCTAAGACCTGCAACTCTGGTTTTTAGTCTTGTTACTTCTGATTTCTAAAGTGAAATCAGGAAAGAAAGACAAATAGTTCAATAGAAATTATAGGGTTACACTCAGCTGGCAACAACCAGTCAGCAAAGGGAGTAGGAAGAGGAAATGACTATCAGGGTTACTGTGACTTTGGGTTACTGTGAAATGACTGTTCATGCTTCATATATTACTTGAGTCAGTATGGTAGCTTGAAATGTGTTGATTGAAGGAAACTCCACTTCTGACACTCTGGTGTGTGTGTCCCACCTCGCAGGGGTGTTCCTGATCCCCTACTGCATCATGCTCCTCTTCGTTGGGCTGCCCCTCTTCCTGATGGAGCTCAGCCTGGGCCAATATGGGGCCGCCGGACCCATCACCGTCTGGAAGTGCTGCCCCCTCCTCAAAGGTACCGGCTGTCTTTTTATTTGGGGAGGGCTCTTCTCTGGGAGGCGTTTGGGGAGTATTAAGGTGTTAAATGGGAGAAAGAACCCCCATTAAAAACATTACACCATGGAACAAAAATTGGGGGAAAAATCTGTCCTAATTGGAAAGTGTTGTTTCCTGTTTAATTGTGCAGTCCTTAAAGTTGAAAGTAGTTGTTCTCCTCCAGAAACTTTGCTTTTGTGTCAAAAACTGCTGAATTGATTGAAACTTTAAAGATAGTCATTTAATAATCATAATACATTTTATTTATATTCTGCTTTATCTCCCCAGAGGGATTCAGAGCAGATTACAATAATAATAATAATAATAATAATAATAATAATAATAATAATAATAGATAATAGATAATAGATGGTGCTGTTGAATGCCAGATCTGTCAACGAGAAAACAGCTTTCATCCAGGACTTAATTCTAGATGAGCGGGCAGACCTGGTGTGCATAACGGAAAACTGGTTGGACGAGGCTTGAGGTGTAAATCTGATCCAGCTTTGTCCATCACGTTTCTCCGTGCAGCACCAACTGAGACCTGGAGGTCTATAGGGATTCCATCTCCCTGATCAGGTGCCCCATCCCGCAGTCAACCAATTTTGAATGTGTCCACCTGAGGGTAGGTGACCGGGACCGAATAAGGATTCTGCTAGTGTACTGTCCACCCCGCTGCACTACAGTCTCCCTACCTGAGCTAGGAGGGATGGTCTGGAGCCTGGTGTTGAAGTCCCAATGGCTTATTGTGCTTGGGGACTTCAGCATCCATGCCACGGCCACCCTGTCAGGAGCAGCTCAGGACTTAATGTCTTCCATGGCCCAACTGATATCTGGCCCTACTCACAAGGCCGGACACACATTAGACTTTGTTTTCTGCCAGGGATGGGAAGAAGGTGGTGGTGTGGAGGAGCTGACCATCGCTCCGTTGCCATGGACCGACCAACACCTGATCAGGTTTAGGCTCACTGCACCCTCCAACCTCCACAGGGGTGGAGGACCCATTAAGATGGTCCACCCCAGGAGGCCACCCCAGGAGGCTTATGGATCCGGATGGTTTCCTGATGGCTCTTGGGGAGTTTCCCGCCACCTCGGTAGGTGTTCCTGTTGATGCTCTGGACACTCTCTGGAATGGGGAGATGACTACAGCAATAGACACGATTGCTCCAGAATGTCCCCTCCCAAGTAGCCAAGCTAAACCAGCTCCTTGATTCAACGAGGAGCTGGCAGCGATGAAGCAAAGGAAGAGGAGACTAGAGGGTGTGTGGTGCTCGGATCCAAGCGAGTCAAATTGAACACGGCTAGATGCCCTTTTAAGGGCATATGCCATGGCAATAAAAGCTGCACAGAAATCATTTATGGCACCCAATATTGTGTTTGCAAGGAACCCTTCGGTGGAGCTGTTCCGAGTTGTCAGAGGCCTATTATATTCCACCTCTCAGGATAGGAGCCCTGACAACTCGGCAGCTATCTGTGAAGTATTTGCTCGATTCTTTGCGGACAAAGTTGCTTTGATCCATTCTGGCCTGGACACCATGTTAATGGCAGTCTCTGAGGATGTAACACGAACACCTGCTTGTCCGATTTTGATGGATTCATTTCAATTGGTGAAACCAGAGGATGTGAACAAGATACTCGGAGAAGTGAGGGAGACCTCATGCATCCTAGACCCCTGCTGTTGCAAACGTCTCCAGTCTTTTTGCTGGCATATCTGCATGAGGCACCCTTTTACCTTCCTGCCAAGGTGGTACCTATTGATCTACTCGCATTGCATGCTTTCGAATTGCTAGGTTGGCAGAAGCTAGGGTTAACAGCGGGAGCTCATCCTGACTTGCGGCTTCGAACTGCTAATCCTCTGGTCAGCAGATTTCCTGCAACTAGAATTTAATAGCTGTGCTACTGTAGCCTAGTTGAAAAACCACTGATTTAGGTGAATGCCTCAAGCGCAATATTATGGCAGTCCTGCTTGTTCCACTTTGTGTGGCCTTGGGGACCATGTTGGGGTTTGACGCTTGTCCTTGACCTCTCTCCTGTCCCTCCGCAGGGATCGGGATTGGGATGCTGCTGGTCTCCGCTTTGGTCTCTCTCTACTACAACGTCATCATCGCCTGGACCTTCTACTACCTGGCCATGTCCCTCCAGAGCCCCCTGCCTTGGTCCTGCCAGGCCCCCCAGAATGCCCCCCTCTGCTGGACACAGGTGACCCTTGCCCTCTGACCTCTATGTGGCCACCAGGGATTCCTTGCCTTGCACCACAGAGATGCAACACGGGAGGCCCTCACGCCACAAAGCCATGCATTCAAAGGGCTGCAACATGTAGGGTGACCTGCTTTCGTTGCATTTCAGAATGGCTCCTTGGCCAACGTCTCCCAGATCAGCGCCAGCGAAGCCTTCTGGAAGTAAGTTGTATTTGGTGGGAGAAAGGGGTGCTGTTGTGTGTCAGCCTGTTCAGCCTGTGATTGTGTCTGATGTTCACGCTGATGCTCATGTTCGTGCTGATGTTCATGATGGGAAAGTTCCTGATGGGATTGGGGACGAGGGGTTGCTTGGCCTGAGCTAAGACCAGAAGAGAGGTCTGAACTGTCTCAGGAAGACTCACAAGGCCACATTCCTGAGAGAGGCCTTTTACCACTTTTCTCAGAGCAACTGTCTGAAAATGTGGTGAGATTGATTTGCCAGGTGCAGGAGTTAATGAGGGAGAGGATAGGGAAACCTTGGACATAAAGCAAAGTTTTAGTAAACAGAGGCAGAGCTTTCAGAGACTGAGGCAATCAGTTCATCTATAGCAAAAGAGAGATAACAAATCATTTTCTGGTGGAAAGATCAAGAAAATTGCTTTCCTTTCCGTTTCGGAATCTGGAAAAGGTTTATAATGATTCATGGGAGAATGTTGCCTCAGTTAAGTCAACGTTGTTATTTTATCACGGTCTTGCTTTCAAGTGCTCTGAGTTTCATGCACCGAGTTTTTGCCAAGATATGGTTTTGCCTATGGGATTTTCCTGCTGTTTTGTTTCATGGTTTCAAATGCATTGATTAATGGATTTCTAAGTACTCATGGATCTGGTATCCCTTTGAAGCTTATGGACTATTTTGGACTTTTACTGTTTTGCTACTTTTTCGTGCTTTGCCTACTTATATTCTACAATAAACTGCTTGCTGATTTTACTAAGCTGGTGTGGTGTTGAAGGTCAGAGGTGTTCCTGCTCTGGTGTACGACAGGTGCTTTGCGGGGAGGCCAATGTTGTTGTTTCTCCTTTGGGAAGAGACGGCAACATCGTGTCCAGAGGAGGGCGACTAAAATGATCAAGGGTCTTGAGAACAAGTCCTATAAGGAGCGGCTTAAGGAGCTGGGCATATTAGGCCTGAAGAAGAGAAGGCTGAGAGGAGATATGATAGCCATGTTCATATATTAGAGGAAGCCACAGGGAGGAGGGAGCAAGCTTGTTTTCTGCTTCCCTGGAGACTAGGACGCGGAACAATAGCTTCAAACTACAAGAAAGGAGATTCCATCTGAACATGAGGAAGAACTTCCTGACTGTGATAGCCGTTCAGCAGTGGAACTCTCTGCCCTGGAGTGTGGTCTAATAATCGATTCTGTCCCAGATCCCTAGTAGCTCTGCTTCAATCAGATACTAGAAGCGAGGAGATCAAATGCAATAGGCTTATTTTGGCCAGAGCAAAGCTATTGGGTGTGCAACAGGAAAATGGTACCTGTTGGAGATGCAACTCAGCCTTTTTAATAGTTGGAGTTTCTAAAGTTTCTAAACATGTGCAAGTGCCACATGAATGAGATGCATTTTTATGGAGATGCATTTTTATTGCAACATCCACATCTATATTTGGTTTTTTTTCCTCCACCATTGTGGAGTCAGGAGTCTTGTGCTCCAAAACTCTGTCAGTCTGAATTTTGTTGTGAATAATAATAATAATAATAATAATACTCCTGACCTCACGATTGTGTTAAAAAACAAAGTATGGATTGTCGATGTTGCAATTCCAGGTGACAGCAGGATATAAGAGAAACAACTGGAAATGCTGACACGATATGAGGATTAGAAGGCAGGATCACCAAGTTAGCAGACGACACCAAATTGGGAGGGAGAGCCAAGACTCCAGAGGACAGGAGCAGGATTCAAAGGGATCTTGACAGGTTAGAGAGATGAAGGGCCAAAACTAACAAAATGAAGTTCAACAGTGACAAATGCAAGATACTCCACTTTGGCAGGAAAAACGAAATGCAAAGAGACAGAATGGGCCTGGCTCGAGAGCAGTATGTGTGAAAAAGATCTTGGAGTCCTCGTGGACAACAAGTTAAACATGAGCCAACAATGTGATGTGGCGGCAAAAAAAGCCAATGGGATTTTGGCCTGCATCAATAGGAGCATAGTGTCTATATCTAGGGAAGTCATGCTCCCCCTCTATTCTGCTTTGGTTAGACCACACCTGGAATATTGTGTCCAATTCTGGACACCACAATTCAAGAGAGATATTGACAAGCTGGAATGTGTCCAGAGGAGGGTGACTAAAATGATCAAGGGTCTGGAGAACAAGCCCTATGAGGAGCGGCTTAAAGAGCTGGGCATGTTTAGCCTGAAGAAGAGAAGGCTGAGAGGAGATATGATGAGCGCCATGTATAAATATGTGAGAGGAAGGCACAGGGAGGAGGGAGCAGATCAAGGGTCTGGAGAACAAGCCCTATGAGGAGCGGCTTAAGGAGCTGGGCATGTTTAGCCTGAAGAAGAGAAGGCTGAGAGGAGACACGATGAGGCCATGTATAAATATGTGAGAGAAAGCCACAGGGAGGAGGGAGCAAGCTTGTTTTCTGCTTCCTTGGAGACTAGGACGCGGAACAATGGCTTCAAACTACAAGAGAGGAGATTCCATCTGAACATTAGGAAGAACTTCCTGACTGTGAGAGCCGTTCAGCAGTGGAACTCTCTGCCCCGGAGTGTGGTGGAGGCTCCTTCTTTGGAAGCTTTTAAACAGAGGCTGGATGGCCATCTGTCAGGGGTGATTTGAATGCAATATTCCTGCTTCTTGGCAGAATGGGGGTGGACTGTGATGGCCCAGGAGGTCTCTTCCCACTCTTTGATTCTAGGATTCTATGTATCAAATAATAATAATAATAATACTCCTGATCTCACGATCGTGGGGAAGAACGAAGTATGGATCGTCGCTGTCGCAATCCCAGGCAACACCAGGATTGAAGAGAAACAGTTGGAAAAGGGTTGTATGCATATAGGATGGAGATATCTCAGCACACCCTACGAGGTGAATGGGAGACATTCTAAATTGGTGAGATGCGGAGCCTTTTGCGCCAAGGACTTTATAGTTTGTGTGAAATCCCTGGCCATAAGATGCACCTGTCCTCCAGCAAGGAGTGTTGCTTTATTCACGTCCAATGAAGTGGGCTATTGCAACACGTTTGAGAAAATAATAAGCCCCTGTGATATAGTAAATAGTAAGCAGCTCATACTAATGTATTGTTGAAAACTTTCATGGCCAGAATCACTGGTTTGCTGTGAGCTTTTCAGGGCTGAATGGCCATATTCCAACAACATCATCCCCCAACGTTTTGCCTGCATCTGTGGCTGGATGATATTAGCCACAGATGCAGGTGAAACGTTAGGAGAGAATGCTGCCAGAACATGGCCATACAGCCCTGAATAGCTCACAGCAACCACAGCTCATTTCCTCAGGCCTTCGGACCCCCTTGAAGCTCGGAAAGTCTTGCAAGCGGGGGCCTTGTTACGATACCTTGCAGAGTGCTTCCTTCCCTCCTGTTTCTCCACCCTCTTCACCTCCCTTGCTGCGGATGGCACCATTTCTCTTTTGCAAGGAGAGGCGCACAGGAAATGCAATCCGTCTGGGTTGCATGGGATTTCCAAGAAGACTTCTAAGCAACCGCAACATTGCATATCTCTGCTTCCTCTGCAGCAAAGGCATTGCATGAGAGTAGTCTGCCCCAAACCCCTAGTCCCTCTGTTTCAATCAGGCACTGGAAGCGAGGATCTCAATGTGCAATAGGTTTGGTTGTGACCAGAGAAAAGCTATTGAGTATTTATTTGTCGTGTCAGGGCAACCAGTCAATTATATTACATTTCTAACAGAACAAAGCAAACAACAGACAAAATACAAAATTTGTGAGTTTGGTGGTTGGTTAAATGTCCTTTGACCAGTATCTGGCCACTTGGAGTGCTTCTGGTGTTGCTGCAAGAAGGTCCTCCCTTGTGCATGTGGCAGGGCTCAGGTTGCATTGCAGCAGGTGGTCAGTGGTTTGCTCTTCTCCACACTCGCATGTTGTGGATTCCACTTTGTAGCCCCATTTCTTAAGGTTGGCTCTGCATCTCGTGGTGCCAGAGCGCAGTCTGTTCAGCGCCTTCCAAGTCGCCCAGTCTTCTGTGTGCCCGGGGAGTCTCTCATTTGGTATCAGCCATTGGTTGAGGTTCTGGGTTTGAGCCTGCCACTTTTGGACTCTCGCTTGCTGAGGTGTTCCGGCGAGTGTCTCTGTAGATCTTAGAAAACTATTTCTAGATTTAAGTCGTTGACGTGCTGGCTGATACCCAAACAGGGGATGAGCTGGAGATGTCTCTGCCTTGGTCCTTTCACTATTGGCTGCTACTATCCCGGCGGATGTCAGGTGGTGCAATACCGGCTAAGCAGTGTAATTTCTCCAGTGGTGTAGGGCGCAGACACCCCGTGATAATGCGGCATGTCTCATTAAGAGCCACATCCACTGTTTAGCGTGGTGAGATGTGTTCCACACTGGGCATGCATACTCAGCAGCAGAGTAGCATAGCGCAAGGGCAGATGTCTTCACTGTGTCTGGTTGTGATCCCCAGGTTGTGCCAGTCAGCTTTTGTGTGATATTGTTTCTAGCACCCACTTTTTGCTTGATATTCAGGCAGTGCTTCTTGTAGGTCAGAGCACAGTCCAGCTATTGAGTGTGCAACAGGAAAATAGTGCCACCAGGCTGAGATGCAACTTGACCTTTTAATAGTAGAGGTTTCTAAACATGAATGGGCAAGCTTTTTCTTCTCATTCCCACTTCTCTGCTTCTTTGTTCTTTTCCCTTTGTGCCTCTTATCTATCTTCATTCCAGCCATTTTCCCTTTTCTTTTTTTCCTCTTTCCTACACTCCCTTCTCTTTAGGTCATAGTGTTCTGTCTCTTGAACTGTTGCACCTCAGCGAGGGTTCACCTTGCTCAAGCACTCACCAGGAAGACAAACGTAGGAATAAACAGTTTATTGAAAAAGCACACTCAGTAAAAGAGTAAAAAAAACCCAAATATGTAAGATAGAAAGAGTCCCAAAAGCCAGAGATAAATCTCCAATGCAAAGGTTAAAGCATGAACATGAATTCAAGGTGCAGGGTACAATCATGAGCTTGATTAATCCAAAAGACAAGGAATAAAACATCAGCTTGAGTGGACCAAGAATCAAAGAACAATACATGAGCTTGAGTCTATGATAAAATCCCCAAGACTTAAAGCAAAACTTGACCAGGAAATGACTTGAAGCTAGGAACAAGGCAGGTGTTGTTACTCAGCTGGATTCATAGATGGATTCACCGAGTGTCTCTGATGAGGATGATGGGACTCAGGTTCACAGTCTGGTTCAAAATGTCCCTGTTATAGATAGTGAGGAAGTGCAGTTTCCCACAACAAGGAATGAGAGTGCAGGTACAGATTGACTCAGAGAAGGACAGTTCTCAGCCTGATAATGAGCAAGCAGAGAAACCAGAGAAACAGGCTGACACTAACGAACAGACTGACCTTGATGAAATGGGAATCTTAGATCGGGCTGACCATTTGGAATTCCAAGTTCAAAGGAGTGAGAGAATAGCTAACAAGAGGAAGGCCAGGAGCCAAAGAAACACCTTCATGTTTTGCAAAGGATATTAAGTGGTGTGTTTGAGACCAAACTTTTGTCAAAGCAATTTTTCGTTCAGCTAAGAAGCTTGCCTTTGTTTGTCTGGATTATTTTCTTGTGTTCATGGTTTCAGGACTTTGTCATTTAAACCTGGGTTTTGCTTTGCTGGTGCCTTTTTGGATTAAGCTTCAAGTGCTATGTTATATTGATCTTTTGGAACATTAACCTTTGCCTTCAAGAACTTTTTACCTTTTATTTTTAATAAACTATAAAGACTTCTGTCTGTTTGCAGTTTGGTGTTTTCAGCAAGGTGAATCTACTCTGAGGTGCAACAGCAGGCGCTTCTTGCTCTATCTGCTGCGTTGCTTGATCTGAGAACTGAAAGCTATTATTTCCCTAATTAAGGACAGCAATGCATGAAAGCATTCTGTTGAACTTGAGGAGTCTCTCTCGGCCTCCCTTTCCCATGGCCTGGCTTGCACCTGAAATTTCCCCCCTGCAGGAACAGCCTTGATTCTCTGTCCAATGAAAACGAAACTGTTTTAGAAGCTGACAGGCAGAGAAGGGAGGAAGGGGGTTCCTCCCTTCTCTGCCTGTCAGCTTCTAAAACAGTTTCGTTTTCACACAGAGAATCAACCAAATTCCCCTCCATTCTCCCAACCAGGGAATCACCATCCTATTCTAACATCCCCTCTGTCTGAGCACCTCTCGAAGCATCAGGTCCTGCAGGCCCCTCAACATCATTCTCAGCTGGCTGAACTACGCCAAACCCCTCATCATCCTCAGCTGGCTGAGCTACAACATGAACTTTCTCCCATCTTTCTAAAACTCCTGCTGTTCTGCTGTTTTTGCYTTGAGTCTCCCCAGCACTCAGAAATAGGTTTCACTTTGAGATTCCCTTATCTTTTTCTGTCGGATTCTGGCAGTCTGCCGAAGGCACTGTTCGRTCTGCCTGTTTTGACTAATCTCCTGCCTCCTATCTATTTGCTCATTAAGTYTMAMAGCTGGGCCAGGTGCCCWGTTSTTTTCAAGCCCCAAATCCTGAGACCTCTCTGGTAGCAATTCAGGGAGTACACCATCATTCCCACACCCTTCAGGGACATTCTCATGGGAAACTACACTTTGCAGAGGGGTCTCCTGGTCCTTCTCTGCATCAGTATCATTGACCAAACCATTGCCATCTTGAAATTCATTAGCATCACTTCCCACATCCAAAGCACCCTGATCCTGAAACACAATCACAGTCTGAACTCCAACAATATCCCAAAGTGAAGACCCCAAATAAGGTTCCTTGGATGCAGTTTGGAGGGTGGAGAGTGCAAGGTCTCTGTGAATACAGTTTGGAGATGACCCTGGTCTGCTCTGAATTGAAGAGAGGTCCAACCTGCGTGGATGTTGAGGGGAAGGGAAATGCGGGTTTCAGGGGGATCCCTTGATGACCGCAGTGCTGCTGACCACAACCCTGTCCTTTCTACCTCACAGTGACCAGGTTCTGGGGGTGACGTCCAGCTCCGGCCTGGGGGACCCTGGCCCCGTGCGTTGGCCCCTGGCCCTCTGCCTGCTCCTGGCCTGGGCCCTCCTCTTCCTCTGCACCTTGAAGGGCATCCACAGCTCAGGAAAGGTGAGAGCAGACGACCACTTTGTTGCATAAGGACGTAGATCAGAAAAGATGAGGACTAGAAACCTCCTGCCAGGCATGCAGTTTGATGGTTGCTCTTGAGAAATGAACGTTTAGTATAACTAGGAGAAGGTCTGGAATTTGGGATTCATGCCTAAAATAAAGGCGGGGACTTAATTTTAATGACCACTACATAAGGAGATTGCTACTAAATGTGTGGAATAAGTATAAGAAAGGATATAGCACAGGCATGGGCCAACTTTGGCCCTCACTCCATGTTGGAAAGAGCAACCTTCTACAAGACTCCTTGTCTAGCTATTTGTTATGTATATAATTCAGATTGCTTATTATATTGTCTATGTGTGTATTGGTACACAGTTTTCCCTTAACTCTATGTTGCTTGAGGTTGTGGGAGGGACTGCAGACCATGTGATCAGATCTGGGAGTATTCAGACTGAGTCTCCATTTTAGAAGTCACTGTTGTGTTGTGTAGTGTTTTGTATAGTCAGTATTTGTTATGCATTAGACATGAGACAGCGAAGAGATGCAACAGAATGCCTTAGAGAACTTACTGTTTAAACTCTCAACCAATAAGAAATCTACCTGTATGCTGAATACATGAAGTTTGTGAGTAAATCAGCTATGATATTTTTAATGAAAACTTATCTATTTTTGGTCTCTTGAGCGCATGATGTTGCACTCCAGGTCAGGAAAAAGCCCTCTGACTTTAAAACACACCACACAAAGAGTGAAGAAACAAATCTTATTTTATTGAAGCTTAGTAAATAGCCAGGAGAAATAAATGCTTGTAAGAAAATAAGAAGGTTCCAAAAACTAATAAGTCCATAAAAAGCTGTAACACAAAACAATGTCCACACAAGAAATAAAAGCAATCCAATGCAGCATTAATCCAGACAGGAATCAAACAGGATGCAAAGACAATCCAAAAGGCTAAAAACTCCACAGGAACCGGACCCTTTGAACAGGATTTCCATGGCACACGAACTTGGTTTCCAAACGATGCCTAATCTAACAGGTTTCCCCTTGAGGCAAACCTTATATCCCAAAACTCAGAAATTGGTTTCGCTTCCCCCCACATTTACCCTTTATCAGACGAAGCCTTTCGGAGCGACGTAAACACTGAGTTTGCTGTCAATTCTGGCTAATCTCCAGTTGCCTATTCTTCAGCTCCCTATCTGGCTCTGGCTGCTCATTACAATTCCCAGGTGTCAGATTGTTTTCCAAACCCAAATCTTGAGAGCTCACAAGAGAGAGGGAGTGAGCTATCATTGCTAGGCCAATCATTGACCAAACCATCTCCATCTTGTACCTCAGCCTTGGCACCATCATTTCTCTCATCATTTCCCACATCAGGATCCTGAAACACAAACACAGGCTGATTCCCAACACGTGATTTAAAAGGGAGAGTAGATGTTTTGGGGCAACTGAAAACAACACTTCTGAAGATCTGCTATATATTTTGTGCATTGGCATAATCTTTCTTCTTAACAGTTCAGAGAGATAGCTAGGAATATCAGTCTAACAACTGAGAAACTTCATTTGCCTTGCATAAATACAAGTGGATATTTACCACCCTCTCCTCCGAGGCATGGTCTCTCTTCCCAACTCAGTGATTATGTCTGCTGTCTTGTGTAGGTTGTCTACGTCACGGCCACCTTCCCCTACCTGGTCATCTTCGTGCTGATCGTCCGAGGGGCCACGCTGGAGGGCTCCCTGGAGGGTGTCCGCTTCTACCTCTCCGCTGACTGGAGTCGCCTGGGCAGTGCGCAGGTTGGTCATCTGTGGCCGGAGACGGGTGGACACGGGGCTGGGCAGCTCCTTTGCACTACAAGGAGCTCCTTTGCAGGCGTGCTCCATGTATATGATATGGAGACATACAAAGCTTATAGAAGACTTTTTGGTTTGGGACAATCAAAGGGAAATCAGAATGGTGGAACCAATGAGAGTCTGTTTAGGATCTGGGAAACTGAACCTTCCTCGTAGTAGTGCAAAATGCTGAACGTATGACCGATGAGCCTATGAACAGCTGGACTTTTGATTAAGACGGTTCTGGAGAGGTCCTCAGTTCTCACAAAGGAGGCCATGCTGGCAATGCTGCTGTTTTGTTGACAAAAAGAACACTATTTGAAACAATGGGGCCAAGTGAAATCCTGGGAGTGGGGGGATTTCACTTAAAATGTGGTGACCTATGTGGCTCCACCTCTCTCTTGACGCCTGACTGCCTGTTCCTCTTCTCCTCCTCTTCCTCCTTCTCCAGGTCTGGAATGATGCAGCCTCCCAGATCTTCTACTCGCTGGGCATCGGCTTTGGGGGCCTCCTCTCCATGGCCTCCTACAACAAGTTCCACAACAACGTCATCAGGTGGGGCCCCGGGGAATGAAAAGGCCCTTCACGGAAGGGGCCCTGGCACCTGAAATGGGACCAAAACATGGACTGGCCCATCCTTTTCGGAAAGGGAAAGACCCAGCATGGTTCCATCCACCACCAACATCCTCTGGGTTTTTAAAACTCTGACATGTGTCTGTCTGTCTGTCTGTCTGTCTATCTATCTATCTATCTATCTATCTATCTATCTATCTATCTATCTATTCATCCTTCTGTCCATCAATCTGAACTATCTATCAATCTATGTATAAGTATCTATCATCTATCCTTCATTTATCCACCATTTGTCTACCCATGCATCCATCCATCCATCAGTCCATCTATCCATCTATTCAGTCCTCTGCCTATCTATTATCTATCTACCTATCTACCTATCTACCCCTCCATTCATTTATCCATCTATCTGCCTATCTATTCATCCCTCCATCCATTTATCCATTTGAAGTGTCTAGCCACCTGTCAGTGTGTCTTTCTCTATGTATGTCATCTTCATCTATCCACCCATCTGTCTATCCATCTATCTGTCCATCCATCCATCGGTCCATCCATCCAGTCCTCAATCCATCCATCCATCAGTCCATCCATCCATCCATCGGTCCATCCATCCAGTCCTCAATCCATCCATCCAGTCCTCAATCCATCCATCCATCTATCCATCCATCCATCCAGTCCTCAATCCATTCATCCATCCATCCATCCATCCATCCATCCATCCAGTCCTCTATCCATCCATCCATCCATCCATCCATCCATCCATCCATCCAGTCCTCTATCCATCCACCCATGCACCCACCCACCCACCCACTCACCTACCTACCTACCGATCCCTCCCTCCATTCATTTATTAGTCTGTCTATTCATCCCTCCATCCATTTATCCATTTGAAGTGTCTAGCCACCTGTCAGTGTGTCTTTCTCTATGTATGTCATCTATCCTTCATCTATCCACCCATCTGTCTATCCATCTATCTGTCCATCCATCCATCAGTCCATCCATCCAGTCCTCAATCCATCCATCCATCAGTCCATCCATCCATCCATCGGTCCATCCATCCAGTCCTCAATCCATCCATCAGTCCATCCATCCAGTCCTCAATCCATCCATCCATCCATCCAGTCCTCAATCCATTCATCCATCCATCCATCCATCCAGTCCTCTATCCATCCATCCATCCATCCATCCATCCATCCATCCAGTCCTCTATCCATCCACCCATGCACCCACCCACCCACCCACTCACCTACCTACCTACCGATCCCTCCCTCCATTCATTTATTAGTCTGTCTATTCATCCCTCCATTCATTTATCTATCTGAAGTGTCTAACCACCTATCAGTTTGTCTTTATGTATGTCATCTATCCTTCATCTATCCACCCATCTATCTCTCCATGCATGTTATCATTCCATCTGTCCATTCATCTATTCAGCTATCCACCTTCCATCTATCCCTGTGTATCTATCACAATCTGTTCATCCATTGATCCATCAACTTATCCATCTGCCCATTCATCCCTCTGTCTATCCATGTATCCATCCATCCATCTCTTCATCTATCTATCTATCTATCTATCTATCTATCTATCTATCTATCTATCTAGTATTTATCATCTCTCCATGTCTATCTGTCCATCCAGCCATCCAGCTATTCCTCCCTCCTTCCCCTGTTCTCCAAAACTGGGATCCAAACATCTGGGAAGCTTCTGGGTTGAGAAACCATTTATCCCAATGACTGGAGAAGTATGTTTGGATTCCTGCTTCCAGGACACCCTAGAGCCAGCTGGGTTCTGTAGTGTATGGCCTTCCCAGTCCCTTCCTCAGCCCTCCTTTGCTCTTTGCTCCGAGACACAAACCCTGCAATGGTCCCTTGTTGCCGCTCTCTCGCAGGGACACACTGGTCATCGCCATCGGGAACTGTGGCACCAGCTTCTTTGCCGGCTTCGCCATCTTCTCCATCCTGGGCCACATGGCCTGGCGGAAGAAGGTGCCCGTGGGGCAGGTGGCCGACTCAGGTACGGACGGATGGGGCCCCCTTCCTTCCTTCCTTCCTTCCTTCCTTCCTTCCTTCCTGGGGGCTGGGGTCCCTTCCCATGAAGCTTCATTGAAACTCTTCCAGGTCCTGGTTTGGCCTTCGTGGCGTACCCAGAAGCCCTTGCATTGCTGCCCGGCTCGGCCTTCTGGTCCGTTCTCTTCTTCCTGATGCTCTTCACTCTTGGAGTGGACACTTTGGTGAGTGGGGCCCACCAGGTCAATGTCTTCCCCTTGGACTTACTATGATGATGATGATGATATTTATTTATACCCTGCTTTTCTCTCCACAAGGAGACTCAGAGCAACTCAGTGGCTGTTTGGGGGGCTGTTGGGTAACAGACACACATCTGTGGTTGGGTCAACAGCAACATTAGGTTTCAGCAGCTAGTTGCTGGGGATGCTGGGGATTCTTCCTCAGAGGATGAAGTAAATCTATTGTCGAAAGCTTTCATGGCTGGAATCACTGGGTTGTTGGAGGGTTTTTTTCGGGCTATATGGCCATGTTCTAGAGGCATTCTCTCCTGACATTTCGCCTGCATCCTCAGAGGCTGTGAGGTCTGTTGGAACTAGGAAAAATGGGTTTATATACCTGTGGAATAACCAGGGTGGGACAAAGAACTCTTGTCTGCTGGAGCTAGGTGTGAATGTTTCCACTGACCACCTTGATTAGCATTTGATGGTCTGGCAGTTGTTTGGTGTGGCTTGTTAGTGCCTGGGGCAATCTTTTGTTGAGAGGTGATTACCTGTCCCCGATTGTTTCCTCTCTGTTTTGCTGTTGTAATTTTAGAATTTTTTAATACTGGTAGCCATGAAAACCATGAAAATGAACAAAATCTGGCTACCCCAACTTACAACAACCCAATGAGGGAAATGATGGATTTTTCACTGAGTGACGAGGCTGAAATACAGACAGAAATGTAGGCCGTAGATCAGACAGAAGGACCAACAGCTGCAGAAGAGACAGAGGATGTTCCTCTTGAGAATCGGTCTTCTCAGCCTTCTGAAGATGGGGAGTTGCCCCGTGATATGAGATTAGGTCTCTGCTCAGAGAGAGCAAAGGAAATGTTAATTAAAAGGTCAGAAAGACTCCGTGAGAAGCAGTCCTTGAAACCCAGGTGCCGAAGGGATGATCTCATGTCTGTTTGGTGAGGTTTGAGCTTAAATTAAGTGATGTTTTCCTGGCCTCTTCAGAGCAGACAACATTGTCATAAAATCAAGTTCATGATCAGCTTTCAAGTTTGCCCTTCTTCCTGAGAAGTTCCTGTTTTCATGCTTATGGATTCAGGTCTATGCTCTTGACTTCATGGATTTCATGTACCTTGCTATCTCGGATTCCATGAGCCTTGCAGTCTTGGACTACTGATCTTTATATATTTGGACTATTGCCATTTCATAGCACCTTTTCTTCTGCTTTTTGGGAAAAGCCCATTTTCCCTTTTGGATATGCTTTTAGTAAATAAACTGCTGTAGTTAGCTACTTCAGGACACTGTTTGGTGCTGGGTTAAAAGGTATTCCTGGCCTAGTGTGAGGCAGTGTCCCTTTGTAAGACTGGGCTTGGGGCCTCTATCCTTCTCTGACCCCTTTCCTGCCTCTGACTGCCATCTGTCGGGGGTGTTTTGAGTGTGCTTTTCCTGCATAAGAGCCCCCGGTGGCGCAGTGGGTTAAAGCACTGAGCTGCTGAGCTTGTTGATCGAAAGGTCGCAGGTTCGATTCCGGGGAGCGGCGTGAGCTTCCGCTGTCAGCCCTAGCTTCTGCCAACCTAGCAGTTCGAAAACCTGCAAATGTGAGTAAGGTAACGGCGCTCCATGCAGTCATGCTGGCCACATGACCTTGGAGGTGTCTACGGACAATGCTGGCTCTTCGGCTTAGAAATGGAGATGAGCACCACACCCCAGAGTCAGTCATGACTAGACTTAATGTCAGGGGACTATCTTTACCTTTACCTTTCCTGCATAATTGCAAAAGTGGGGTGGACTAGATGGCCCCTGGGGTCCCTTCCAACTCAATGATTCTCTTCTTCTTTATGACCTTTCTAGTTTGGCAACATGGAGGGCATCTCCACAGCTTTGATGGACGAGTTCCCCTCGCTGCGAGAGAGAAAGAGGAAAGCTCTCTTCCTGGCCCTCCTCTGCACCGCCTTCTACCTCTTGGGCCTCCTCCTGATCACAGAGGTAAAGTGGCCTTCCTTTTGAGATGGGACACAGGTGGAGTGTCCCCTTGAGCTTCATGTCATTCCTGTTGGAAGGGAAGAAGCATGCAAACTTGTATGTACATAGAGAGCAATGAGGGGCAGGAAGAACCCTGTGGGTTGTGTATCCCTGCCTGGCAGACTGGGGTTGGACTGGATGACCTTTGTGGCCCCCTTGGTGACTTCTCCACTCCTAATATCTGTGGTTTCCCCATTGACAGGGTGGCATTTACTGGTTCACCCTCATTGACGCCTACAGCACGAGCTTCGGCCTCATCATCATCGTCCTCTTCATGTGCCTCGGCATGGCTTTCTTTTACGGTGAGTCCTTTGCAGGAAACGTGGGCCAGTCGTATCGTTTTTTGACGTCTCTGAAACGTTTTGACAGGCTCCTTGTCAGAAAGACGAAAAATTAACTAGGTATTTTTAATTACAAAAATGTGAGTCAAGCACTGAAAGGGTTAAATGGAAAAGTGCAGTTCTATATAAGCAGGTGTGCCTGTTGTCCTCAGTGTGAGTTTGCCTCAGTGGGAGAAAGGTCTCTGTCTGTGAGAAGGCCTCAGTGTGAGTTAGGCCTTAGTCGGTATGAGAAGGCTTTGTGTGTGAAGCTCCAGTGAGAAGGTTGAACTTTGTGTCATGGAAACCTAGTTCTTGAGAGTGTTTGAGGACCGGGAAATCCGTAGGGATGCCAAGGAGCTTTGTTTATAAAGCTATTGTCCTCCCAACCCTGCTATACGCCTGTGAAACGTGGACTGTCTACAGACGTCACATGCAACTCCTGGAACGATTCCATCAGCGCTGCCTCCGGAAAATCCTGCAAATCTCTTGGGAAGACAGGCGGACAAATGTCAGTGTGCTGGAAGAAGCAAAGACCACCAGCATTGAAGCAATGGTCTTCCACCATCAACTCTGCTGGACCAGCCACATTGTCCAGATGCCCGACCACCGTCTCCCAAAGCAGTTGCTCTACTCTGAACTCAAGAATGGAAAACGGAATGTTGGTGGACAGGAAAAGAGATTTAAAGATGGGCTCAAAGCCAACCTTAAAAACTCTGGCATAGACACTGAGAACTGGGAAGCCCTGGCCTGTGAGCACTCCAGCTGGAGGTCAGCTGTGACCAGCAGTGCTGCAGAATTTGAAGAGGCATGAATGGAGGGTGAAAGAGAAAAATGTACCAAGAGAAAGGCGCATCAAGCCAACCCCGACCGAAACCGATGCCCTCACTGTGGGAGAACATGCGGGTCAAGAATAGGGCTCCACAGTCACCTACGGACCCACCCTGGAGGATTATCCTACTCGGACAACAAGGGATCACCTAAGTAAGTAAGTAGTTCTTGTAAATAGTGCAAGACTCCACTGCCAAGGGGCCTCCGAGGAAGAGAAGGAGGGAGTTGTTGCTTCTGCAAGTGCTTGGGGGCATTCTTCTTCTCCTTCTCCTTCTCTTCTTCTCATCCGGCCTGGGCTGTGGGCCTCCCCGTTGGGCAAGCTCTTCCAGTGCCTCAGCCAAGGTCTGTGCTCACCCTCTTCCTCCTCTCCTCCACCTTCTCCTGCTAGCCCGAAGGAAGCAAGGCTCTGGCATCCTCCAGCCACACCATTTGCCAGCACCTGGCTCCTCCGTTGAAATTGTCCACCTGCTTCTTGTGGATTTCAATGGCTTCTCTGTGTAGCCTGACATGGTGGTTGTGAGAGTGGTCCAGCATTTCTGTGTTCTCAAATAAAATGCTGTGTCCAGGTTGGTTCATCAGGTGCTCTGCTATGGATGACTTCTCTGGTTGAACTAGTCTGCAGTGCCTTTCATGTTCCTTGATTCGTCAACAGAAAGGAGGAAACCATGAAAATGAACAATATTTGGCTCCCAGTATTAAAAAACTAAAATTAGAACAGCAAAACAGCAGAGAGGAAACAACCAGGCACATCTTAACACCTCTCAACAAAAGATTTTCCCAGGCTCAGCCAGGCCTTCAAATGCTAATGAAGGTGGTCAGTTGAAACATTCACACCTAGCTTCAGCAGAGAAGAGCTCTTTGCCCCACCCCAGCCATTCCACAGATATATAAACCCATTGTCCTAATTCCAACAGACCTCACTACCTCTGAGGATGCTTGCCATAGATGCAGGCGAAACGTCAGGAGAAATGCCTCTAGAACATAGCCATATAGCCCGAAAAAACCCCACAAGAACCTAATAATATACTCCACGATGATCCTGATTGTGATGAAGTGGGAGACAAGGACCATTAGAAGGTGATAAAGCGAGAGACATGACCGACCATGAGGCCTATTCTGCGCCCACATCTCAGCTTCTAACTATGGGATGCCGGGGGGGATAGTGGTGTCCCAATGGGCCCCTCCACTTGCTCAGCCCTTCTTTCCTCCCTTCCTCTCTTGCAGGGATCAACCAGTTCTGCCGGGACATTGTGGACATGATCAGCCGATGCCCTCCCTGGTGCAGCCAGATGGTGCTCTACTTCAAGGCCTGCTGGGTGGCCTTCACTCCGGGTCTACTCCTGGTAGGAAAGTAGTTGCAGGACTCTTTTGCTCCTTACTCGTTGCTCCTCTCAGCCCCAAGGTTCAAGTCGTTAGGGCAAAGGGGGCCCATGACACTCATGTAACCAAGGAGGTTCGGGGCTCTAAGGTCCCTTTGTGCGCTGGCTGTGTTGCTCTAGAGCAGGCATGGGCAAACTTTTGCCCTCCAAGTATTTTGGACTTCGGCTTCCACAATTTGTTAGAAATTGTGGGAGTTGAAGTCCAAAACATCTGGAGGGCCCAAGTTTGCCCATGCCTGCTTTGAATCAGCAGTCCTCTGATGCCTCTACTTCCTCACACATCAGAGCCATTGATCAGACCCACCCCTGCCATTAATATGTATATGCCTCGCACCCATCACTTCAAACTCCACACCCATCACTCCATGTCCCATCACTCCACACCCATCACTCCATGTCTCTCCCTTTCCCACACATTAAAGTTAATGAGATTACACCAGGGATGTGGTAATTAAATAACATTATGACAGGAGCTCATTCTAGTACAGTAGCATCTCCAGCAGAGAGAGTGCAAGGGAATGCTGTGCACACAGAGGCGGCCCTAGGTAATTTTCAATGGTAAGCAAGCAGTATTTTGCGCCCCCGCCCCCCCAACCAATCACTAAAATTAAAACAGCAAAACAACAGAGGGGAAACAAACAGGCACATAAAATCACTCTCAACAAAAGATTCCCCCCGGGCACTTCCAAGCCATTGAATGCTAATCAAGGTGATCAGCTGAAACATTCACAGCTAGCCCCAGCAGACAAAAGTCCTTTGTCTCACCCTGGTCATTCCACAGATATATAAACCCATTTTTCCTACTTCCAACAGACCTCACTACCTCTGAGGATGCTTGCCATAGATGCAGGCGAAACGTCAGGAGAAAAATTGCTTCCAGAACATGGCCATATAGCCCGGAAAAACCTACAACAACCCACTATTTTCTGTTCGTTGTGGGAGTTCTGTGTGCCATATTTGGTTCAATTCCATCATTGGTGGAGTTCAGAATGCTCTTTGATTGTAGGTGAACTATACATCCCAGTAACTACAACTCGCATATATCAAGGTCTATTTTTCCCCAAGAGCACCTAAAGAGCGCCCCTGGGCAAAATCAACTATACTGCAAATGCTTACTTTGCGTAATGGGTTGAGCCGCCCCTGTGTGCACACCTGGACAAGTTGAATTCTAGGGGTTTTTGTGTGTGTGTGTGAGAAGTGACTTGAGAAAATGCAAGCACGGGCAGTGTGGCAGAGGTGGAAAGGCCTCCTCCTTAGCTCAAGGTGCAGTGGAGCAGTCCCAAGACCTCCTCACGACACCGCTCTGGCTCAGCACGAGGCTAGAGAGGTAAGAGGCTTTGGGGCTGCTCCGCTGAGCCTTGAGCCAAGGAGCAGGAGCAGGGCGACTCAAATGATCAAGGGTCTGGAGAACAAGCCCTATGAGGAGCGGCTTAAGGAGCTGGGCATGTTTAGCCTGAAGAAAGAAGGCTTTGTTTTCATAGAATCTAGAATCAAAGAGTTGGAAGAGACCTCATGGGCCATCCAGTCCAACCCCCTGCCAAGAAGCAGGAATATTGCATTCAAATCCCCCCTGACAGATGGCCATCCAGCCTCTGTTTAAAAGCTTCCAAAGAAGGAGCCTCCACCACATTCCGGGGCAGAGAGTTCCACTGCTGAACGGCTCTCACAGTCAGGAAGTTCTTCCTCATGTTCAGATGGAATCTCCTCTCTTGTAGTTTGAAGCCATTGTTCCGCGTCCTAGTCTCCAAGGAAGCAGAAAACAAGCTTGCTCCCTCCTCCCTGTGGCTTCCTCTCACATATTTATACATGGCTATCATATCTCCTCTCAGCCTTCTCTTCTTCAGGCTAAACATGCCCAGTTCCCTGAGCCGCTCCTCATAGGGCTTGTTCTCCAGACCCTTGATCATTTTAGTCGCCCTCCTCTGGACACATTCCAGCTTGTCAATATCTCTCTTGAATTGTGGTGCCCAGAATTGGACACAATATTCCAGGTGTGGTCTAACCAAAGCAGAATAGAGCATGGGGAGCATGACTTCCCTAGATCTAGACACTAGGCTCCTATTGATGCAGGCCAAAATCCCATTGGCTTTTTTTGCCGCCACATCACATATGATAGCCATGTATAAATATGTGAGAGGAAGCAAGCTTGTTTTCTGCTTCCCTGGAGACTAGGACACAATAGAACAATGGCTTCAAACTACAGGAAACATCTGAACATGAGGAAGAACTTCCTGACTGTGAGAGCTGTTCAGCAGTGGAACTCTCTGCCCCGGAGTGTGGTGGAGGCTCCTTCTTTGGAAGCTTTTAAACAGAGGCTGGATGGCCATCTGTCAGGGGTGATTTGAATGCAATATTCCTGCTTCTTGGAAGACTGGGGTTGGACTGGATGGCCCAGGAGGGCTCTTCCAGCTCTTGGATTCTAGGATTCTATGATCCTGCTCCTTGGCTCAAGGCCCAGTGGAGCAGGAAAGGGACAGAAAAGGAAAGAGATATAAAAGAGAAGGAGGGGGCCCAACGGTCATTTGGGGGCCGCAGGGTCAAAGGAGGCTATGGCGCGACCCCTTAAGACAGCCTATCGACCCCTCTAGGGGCCGCGACCTACAGGTAGAGAACTGTGCGCCAACTGCGCCCGTACCTTGGGAAGTCTGACTTGGCCACGGTAGTCCACGCTCTGGTTACTTCCCGTTTAGACTACTGCAACGCTCTCTATGTGGGGTTGCCATTTGAAGACGGCCCGGAAGCTCCAACTGGTCCAACGTGCGGCAGCCATGATACTAACAGGAGCAGGGCGCAGGGAGCATACAACCCCCCTGCTATACCAGCTCCACTGGCTGCTGATCTGCTACCGGGCTCAATTCAAGGTGCTGGCATTGGCCTATAAAGCCCTAAACGGTTCCGGCCCAAGATACCTAACTGACCGCCTCTCGGCCTATGAGCCCACGAGGACTTTGAGATCTTCCGGGGAGGCCCTGCTCTCGATCCCGCCTGCGTCACAGGCACGGCTGGCGGGGACGAGAGATAGGGCCTTCTCGGTGGTGGCTCCTCGGCTGTGGAACACCCTTCCCGTGGACATCAGGCTAGCCCCCTCCCTGTTGATATTCCGCAGGAAGTTGTTTGAGAAGGCTTTTGAATAGTAGTGCAATGACGGGTAACTCGACCATAGGAATGGAACAACGGAAATGGTATTGGATTGTGAACTTGACGATGAGACGACTCGGAATGGCTTGTAGTTATATTGATGTTTTTGATGAGATGTTTTGATAATGATGTACTGTGGATTATTTTTTGTATGTTGTATTTTTGCACCTGTTTTTCTATGTTGTACACCGCAATGAGTCGCCATTAGGCTGAGAATTGCGGTATATAAGTGAAGTAATAATAATAATAATAATAATAAAAATAAAAATAAAAATCTACAAATCCCAGCAGCAGGGAGGGATTAATTGGAGGTTTTGAAACAGAGGCTAGATGGCCATCTGTCAGGGGTGGTTTGAATGCAATATTCCTGCTTCTTGGCAGAAAGGGGTTGGACTGGATGGCCCAGGAGGTCTCTTCCAACTCTACAAATCTATTATGGGAGTTACAGTCCAGCAACAACCTGAGTGGTGGTAGTGATGTTCACAGTGATCCTACTGGTGACTGGATCTCAATGGAGCCATGGGTCCAAATTACATGAAAGGAGATTTGGCTTAAACATTAGGAAGACCTTCCTGATTGTAAGGAGGGCTGTTCAGCAGTGGAACTCTCTGCCTCAGAGTCTGGTGGAAGCTCCTTCCTTAGAGGCTTTGACAGAGGCTGGGAGGTCATTTTGTGGGGGGTGCTTTGATTGTCCCGAGGGTCTCTTCCAAATTTATGATTCGATGATACTCCGAGAATCAAAGAGTTGGAAGAGACCTCATGGGCCATCCAGTCCAACCCCCTGCCAAGAAGCAGGAATATTGCATTCAAATCACCCCTGACAGATGGCCATCCAGCCTCTGTTTAAAAGCTTCCAAAGAAGGAGCCTCCACCACACTCTGGGCAGAGAGTTCCACTGCTGAACAGCTCTCACAGTCAGGAAGTTCATAGAATCATAGAATCCTAGAGTTGGAAGAGACCTCCTGGGCCATCATCCAGTCCAATCCCATTCTCCCAAGAAGCAGGAATATTGCATTCAAAGCACCCCTGACAGATGGTCATCCAGCCTCTGTTTAAAAGCTTCCAAAGAAGGAGCCTCCACCACACTCTGGGGCAGAGAGTTCCACTGCTGAACGCTCTCACAGTCAGGAAGTTCTTCCTCATGTTCAGATGGAGAGCTCTGGCGTGGGGGTTCTGGGCTCCTGTGGCTGCTCCAAAGGAGAGCCACAGAGCATTCTTTGGGGAGGGGGCCTTGGTGAGCATGACTCATAGGTCACCCCCTCCCTCCTCTTCCTTCCCCTCTGTCCCCAGTTCACCCTCTTCTACATCTTCCTGGACCTCTCCAGCACCACCCTGCACTATGGGGCCTACGCCTTCCCTACCTGGGGGGAAGCCCTGGGGGTCTGCATGGGGGTCCTGACCTGCGGCCAGATCCCCCTCTGGGCCGCCATCGCCTTGTGCAAGGAGACCGGGACGCTGGCTGATGTGAGTATTGGGAGAAGGGGGGGGGGGTATTGAGGGGCTGCATTGTGAGACCCCCCTCACCCACCCTATGGAAATCCTGAAAAGACCCCTTGTCGTGGCCCTGTCATTGAAGGAACAAATGGGGACCTATGTTGGGTGTGGATGGGAATGGGGCCACATGGCAGGGACCCTAAAGGTGTCACCAGGAAATGATAACATGGCAATTGCCCCAGGAGGTGATGTATGATCCTGACTACAATTTATATATAGGTAAATGAGTGGGTACGGGTAAATGAGTCAATCAGGGTCCCCCAATCTATACGATAGCCTGGTAATAGCCTAATTTCTGAATTGTTGGAGGCTTTCATGGCTGGACTCACTGGGGTGTTGTGTGGTTTCTGGGCTGTCTGGCCAAGGTGTTCTAGCAGCATTTTCTCCTGACGCTTCCCCTGCATCTGTGGCTGGCATCTTCAGGGGATCTGATGATAGTCAAGCAAGTGGAGTCTATATACCCGTGGAATGTCCTGGGTGGAAGGAAAGAACCATTGTCTGTTACACAAGTGTAAGGGTGCAATTAAAAAGCTGGATTTGTCTGTGTTGAGTGGAAGCCACCCATTAACATGCGAGTAGGGCATCTGCGTGGAAGTAGCCTGGCCTTTGCTGCCTTTTGAGTTGTTTGCTGCTTAGAGCATCTGCCTGGAAGTAGCCTGGCCTTTGTGATGTAATTCTGGACCACTCTGGCAACCACTTTGTCAGATTACACAGAAGAGCCATTGAAGTCCACAAGCACACGGGCAATTTCAACGGAAAGGAAGAAACTATGAAAATGAACAAAATATGGGAGGATGGCCAAGACTTCAGAAGACAGGAGCAGAACTCAAAATGATCTTCAAAGATGAGAGAGATGATGGGCCAAAACTAACACAATGAAGTTCAACAGGGACAAATGCAAGATGCTCCACTTAGGCAGGAAAAAGGAAATGCAATGGGGGACAATGCCTGGCTTGAGATCCGGACATGCGGAAAAGATCTTGGAGTCCTCGTGGGGAACAAACTGAACATGAGTCAACAATGTCATGCAGTGGCAAAAAAACCCAGTGGGATTTTGGCCTGCATCAATAGGAGTCTAGTGTCTAGATCCAGGGAAGTCATGCTCCCCATGCTCTTTTCTGCCTTGGTCAAAGCACACCTGGAATCCCAGTGTCAATTCTGGGCACCACAATTGAAGGGAGAGTTTGACTCTAAGTTGGAATGTGTCCAGAGGAGGGTGACTAAAATGATCAAGGGTCTGGTAAACAAGTCCTATGAGGAGTGGCTTAAAGAGCTAGGCATGGTTAGCCTTCAGAAGAGAAGGCTGAGAAGAGACACAATGAAGGCCATGTATAAATATGTGAGGAAGCCACAGGGAGGAGGAGGGAGCAAGCTTCCTTTCTGCTTCCCTGGAGACTAGGACGCAATGGAGCAATGGCTTCAAACTACAGGAAAAGAGATTCCACCTGAACATGAGGAAGAACTTCCTGACTGTGAGAGCCGTTCAGCAGTGGAACTCTCTGCTCCGGAGTGTGGTGGAGGCTCCTTCTATAGAGGCTTTTAAACAGAGGCTAGATGTCCATCTGTTGGGAGTGCTTTGAACGTGATTGTCCTGCTTCTTGGCAGAATGGGGTTGGACTGGGTGGCCCACCAGGTCTCTTCCAACTCTAGGATTCTGATTCTATGGTTACCAGTATTGAAAAACATTAGAATCAAGACAGTGACTAATGAACACCATCCAGGCAGAGGAGGTCTCCTGGCAGCAAGTAGTAAAGAGCTAGTGAATGCCACCCAGGCAAAGGATGTCTCCAGGCAGCAAACAATTAAAAGGGAACAACGGCAATGCTACTTCCACGCAGATGCCCTCACGAATTGACTCTGCTATCTGCAAGGTCACCTACATGCTAATGGGTGAATCACACCCAACACATAAAAATCTGGTGTGCTAATTGCACCCTTTACACCTGTTTAACAGTCACTGCCTGGACACTCCACAGTCCACTTGCTTGACTACCATCAGATCCTTTGAAGATGCCAGCCACAGATGCAAAATGTCAGGAGAAAATGCTGTTTGAACAGAGCTATTCAGCCCAGAAACCACACAACACCCCAGCCAAAAAGTTCCTTTGGAAATGGAGTCTTGATGACTGTCTAGATGGGATTTTGGGGAGGTCTGCCAGAGCCAAAGGGTACGTCCCTCTTAAGCGAACGCCTCCCTTTCAGAGCAATGCCTAATCTCTCGTCGTTCCCCTTGCTCTTCCTTGCAGCGCTTCCGGAAGGCCATCAGCCCGCTCAACTCCTGGCGCATGGCCACGGGCCGGGAGATCTCCCAGGCGGTCATTGAGGTCCCTTACACGGTCAATCTGACGGACCATGACTTCAGCGAGGCCTGACTCCGAAGGGATGGGCGAGGAATGGACTTTGGCCCTCCTGGTTTTGTTGCTGCTGGTGGCGGCCACTTCGGAGGGATAGGAGGATCCGGCTGCTTCATTGGGACAGAACTCCTGACCGGAGAAAGCTGGAGTCTTCCAGGATCCTTCATCAGGAGGTTGGTTGGATGTGCAGGACAAGGGACCTCTCTGTTGGGGCTTTGGCCATTCTGCGCCACATTGTCCTCTTGGAACCCTGGGTTCCAAAAACAGAGGGTGTCCATCCCTAAGCCTTGGCTCCCCCAAATCCTCCTGCAGAACAAGGCCACCACCCAACACAGCCAATACCCGATTCCCTTGCCAGCAGGAAAAGACTCACTCCAAGCCACAGATGAAGCCTTTGTGAAGCAAGGCATCTTCTGGAAACTGATGTCCTCTCTGCGGAAGGAAGAACCTGCGGATCCAGAAGAGGTCCTGACAGCCACCTACGGACCTACCAACAAGACTCGGACACAAGGGACCACCAATGATGGAAGTGGAATCATCATGGAAGACTCCTAGAAATGAAAGGACTCACTCCAAGCCACAACGGAAGCCTTTGTGAAGCAAGGCATCTTCTGGAAACTGATGTCCTCTCTGCAGAAGGAAGAACCTGCGGATCCAGAGGAGGTCTCTACAGCCACCTACGGACCTACCAACAAGACTCAGACATGAGGGACCACCAATGATGATGCTAATGATCTTGATGGACGTGGAATCATCATGGAAGACCCCTAGAAATGAAAGGACTTACTCCAAGCCACAACGGAAGCCTTTGTGAAGCAAGGCATCTTCTGGAAACTGATGTCCTCTCTGCAGAAGGAAGAACCTGCAGATCCAGAAGAGGTCTCTACAGCCACCTAGGGACCTACCAAGACTCAGACATGAGGGACCACCAATGATGATGCTAATGATCTTGATGGACGTGGAATCATCATGGAAGACCCCTAGAAATGAAAGGACTTACTCCAAGCCACAACGGAAGCCTTTGTGAAGCAAGGCATCTTCTGGAAACTGATGTCCTCACTGCAAAAGGAAGAACCTGCGGATCCAGAAGAGGTCTCTACAGCCACCTACGGACCTACCAACAAGACTCAGGCACGAGGGACCACCAATGATGATGCTAATGATCTTGATGGACGTGGAATCATCATGGAAGACCCCTAGAAATGAAAGGACTTACTCCAAGCCACAACGGAAGCCTTTGTGAAGCAAGGCATCTTCTGGAAACTGATGTCCTCTCTGCAGAAGGAAGAACCTGCGGATCCAGAGGAGGTCTCTACAGCCACCTACGGACCTACCAACAAGACTCAGACATGAGGGACCACCAATGATGATGCTAATGATCTTGATGGACGTGGAATCATCATGGAAGACCCCTAGAAATGAAAGGACTTACTCCAAGCCACAACGGAAGCCTTTGTGAAGCAAGGCATCTTCTGGAAACTGATGTCCTCTCTGCAGAAGGAAGAACCTGCGGATCCAGAGGAGGTCTCTACAGCCACCTACGGACCTACCAACAAGACTCAGACATGAGGGACCACCAATGATGATGCTAATGATCTTGATGGACGTGGAATCATCATGGAAGACCCCTAGAAATGAAAGGACTTACTCCAAGCCACAACGGAAGCCTTTGTGAAGCAAGGCATCTTCTGGAAACTGATGTCCTCACTGCGAAAGGAAGAACCTGCGGATCCAGAAGGAGGTCTCTACAGCCACCTACGGACCTACCAACAAGACTCAGACATGAGGGACCACCAATGATGCTGCTAATGATCTTGATGGACGTGGAATCATCATGGAAGACCCCTAGAAATGAAAGGACTCACTCCAAGCCACAACGGAAGCCTTTGTGAAGCAAGGCATCTTCTGGAAACTGATGTCTTCACTGCGAAAGGAAGAACCTGCGGATCCAGAGGAGGTCCCTACAGCCACCTACGGACCTACCAACAAGACTCAGACATGAGGGACCACCAATGATGATGCTAATGATCTTGATGGACGTGGAATCATCATGGAAGACCCCTAGAAATGAAAGGACTGACTCCAAGCCACAACGGAAGCCTTTGTGAAGCAAGGCATCTTCTGGAAACTGATGTCCTCACTGCAAAAGGAAGAACCTGCAGATCCAGAAGAGATCTCTACAGCCACCTATGGACCTACCAACAAGACCCAGACTCAGTCTTGAGGGTCCACCAATGATGCTGCTAATGATCTTGATGGACGTGGAATCATCATGGAAGACCCCTAGAAGTGTGGATTTCAGAAGGAAGATTGAGACAGGAGGGAGGGAAGAATCGGAGGGTTTAGAACCATAGAATCCTAGAGTTGGAAGAGACCTCATGGGCCATCCAGTCCAACCCGTCTGCCAAGAAGCAGGAAAATTGCATTCAAAGCACCCCCAACAGATGGCCATCCAGCCTCTGCTTAATAATAATAATAATAATAATAATAATAATAATAATAATAATAATAGATCCTAGAGTTGGAGACCTCGAGGCCATCCAGTCCAACCCCATTCTGCCAAGAAGCAGGAAATTGCATTCAAAGCACCCCCGACAGATGGCCACCCAGCCTCTGCTTATAATAATAATAATAATAATAATAATAATAATAATAGAGTTGGAAGAGACCTCCTGGGCCATCCAGTCCCACCCCATTCTGCCAAGAAGCAGGAAAATTCCATTCAAAGCACCCCTGACAGATGGCCACCCAGCCTCTGCTTAATAATAATAATAATAATAGAATCCTAGAGTTGGAAGAGACCTGGTGGGCCATCCAGTCCAACCCCATTCTGCCAAGAAGCAGGAATATTGCATTCAAAGCACCCCTGACAGATGGCCACCCAGCCTCTGCTTAATAATAATAATAATAATAATAATAATAATAATAATAATAATAGAATCCTAGAGTTGGAAGAGACCTCATGGGCCATCCAGTCCAACCTCATTCTGCAAAGAAGCAGGAATACTGCATTCAAATCACCCCCAACAGATGGCCATCCGGCCTCCGTTTCAAAGCTTCCAAAGAAGGAGCCTCCACCACACTCCAGGGCAGAGAGTTCCACTGCTGAACAGCTCTCATAGTCAGGAAGATCTTCCTAATGTGGAAGATTGAGACAGGAGGGAGGGAAGAATCGGAGGGTTTAGAATCACAGAATCCTAGAGTTGGAAGAGACCTCATGGGCCATCATCCAGTCCAACCCCATTCTGCCAAGAAGCAGGAAAATTGCATTCAAAGCACCCCCGACAGATGGCCATCCGGCCTCTGTTTAAAAGCTTCCAAAGAAGGAGCCTCCACCACACTCCAGGGCAGGGAGTTCCACTGCTGAACGGATCTCACAGTCAGGAAGTTCTTCCTCATGTTCAGATGGAATCACCTTTCTTGTAGTTTGAGGAGATCCAAAGCTCCCTCTTCCAGTCAAAACAGAGCACAGCAGGAGTCGTAGATAGGCCATGGAGAACGAAGAAAGTAGATAAAAGGGTTCAAAGGGACTTTGTGACCTGAAGAGAGGGGAGAACGCAGGAAGAGAGTGGGAATGGCTGTGGAGAAGAGGCAACAATTAGAAGTGGGAGTGGGAAAAAGGTTTGCACTCGCATGTTTTTGTTTGACACTATGGACTATAGAGTATTGAGCTGCACCTCAGATTGTGTGGCACACTTCTATCTTTGCTGGTCACCCTCAGTTTTGCCCTGGCCAGAAATAAAGCTGTAGTTTGGACCTCTTGTCTCTAGCATCTCATTGGAAGAAGATATACTGGAAACTCACCAAGCCCCAACACTTCCCTTCCAACAGCTGGAGCATTTTTGTGAATTGACCCCCATGTATTTTTGATGGGGGCGGTACCTGGTCTTTCTCAGAGGGCTTCCCAGCTGCCTTGCCACCATTGCCAAGCCCAGGCCCACAAGCTGAAATTTTGACCCATGATCGGTGGAGATGCTCTATAACAGTGTTTCTCAACCTGGGGGTCGCGAAGGTGTGTCAGAGGGGTTGCCAAAGACCATCAGAAAACACAGTATTTTGTGTTGGTCATGGGGGTTCTGTTTGGGAAGTTTGGCCCAATTCTATCATTGTTGGGATTCAGAATGCTCTATTTTAGGTGAACTATAAATCTCAGCGAGTACAACTCCCAAATCTTAAGATCTATTTTCTCAAAACTCTACCAGTGTTCACATTTGGACATATGGAGTATCCATACCAAGTTTGTTCCAGATCCATCATTGTTTGAGCCCATAGTGCTCTCTGGACGTAGGTGAACTACAACTCCCAAACTCAAGGTCAATGCCCACCAAACACTTCCAGTCTCTTCTGTTGGTCATGGGGAGTCTTGTGTGCCAAGTTTGGTTCAATTCCATCATTGGTGGGGTTCAGAATGCTCTTTGATTGTAGGTGAGGTATAAATCCCAAGAACTACAATTCCCATATGACAAGGTCTATTTTCCCCAAACTCCACCAGTGTTCACATTTGGACATATTGAGTATATGTGGGAAGTTTGGTCCAGCTCCATCATTGTTGGAGTCTAGTGTTCTCTGGATGTAAGTGAACTACAACTCCCAAACTGAAGGTCAATGCCCACCAAACCCTTCCAGTACTTTCTGCTGGTCATGGGGGTTCTGTGTGGGAAGTTTGGCCCATTTCTATCATTGGTGGGGTTCAGAATGCTCTTTGATTGTAGGTGAGCTATAAATCCCAAGAACTACAACTCCCATATGACAAGGTCTATTTTCTCCAAACTCCACCAGTGCTCACATTTGGACATATTGAGTATTCGCGGCAAGTTTGGTCCAGATCCATCATTGTTGGAGTCTAGTGTTCTCTGGATGTAGGTGCACTACAACTCCCAAACTCAAGGTCAATGCCCACAAAACCCTTCTAGTATTTTCTGTTGATCATGGGAGTTCTGTGTGCCAAGTTTGGTTCAATTCCATTGTTGGTGGGATTCAGAATGCTTTCTGATTGCAGGTTAACTGTAAATCCCAGCAACTACAACTCCCAAATGACAAAATCAATCCCCCTGCCCACCCCACCATTATTCACATTTGGGCATATGGGGTCTTTGTGCCAAATTTGCTCCAGTGAATGAAAATACATCCTGTAGATCGTTATGTACATGGCGACTCATAATGTTAGGGTAATGGTTGGGGGTCACCAAAACATGAGGAACTGTATTAAGGGGTCACAGCATTAGGAAGATTGAGAACCACTGCTCTATGGCATTGTTTCTTAAACTGGGGGTCCCACCCCTGTACTCAATGATGGGGTCGCAAAAAAATTGGCAGTAGTAAACCTAGTGCCTGTTTTACATGAATCTGTTACCAACAACATGCAGTGTATACAATGGACTCCGCAGAAAATGTTTCAGCTATACTTCATAAAAATGGTGAAACGAGCCTCTCTAGCAAGTTTTCCAAACGCTGACTGGTTATCAGTAAAGATTTGGTATTTATACACCTATATATCTGCGGTTAGGTAAATTATTCTCGGGTGAAAAGGGTTCACAAGTGGAAAACTCTGATCCATGATAATGGGCAAGGTGGCGCTAGCCCAGGCGTGGGCAAACTTGGGCCCTCCAGGTGTTTTGGACTTCAACTCCCACAATTCCTAGTAGGCACAGAATCATAGAATCAAAGAGTTGGAAGAGACCTCATGGGCCATCCAGTCCAACCCATTCTGCCAAGAAGCAGGAATATTGCATTCAAATCACCCCCGACAGATGGTCATCCAGCCTCTGTTTAAAAGCTTCCAAAGAAGGAGCTTCCACCACACTCCGGGGCAGAGAGTTCCACTGCTGAACGGCTCTCACAGTCAGGAAGTTCTTCCTCATGGAATCTCCTCTCTTGTAGTTTGAAGCCATTCTTTCCGCATCCTAGTCTCCAGGGAAGCAGAAAACAAGCTTGCTCCCTCCTCCCTGTGGCTTCATCTCACATATTTATACATGGCTATCATATCTCCTCAGCCTTCTCTTCTTCAGGCTAAACATGCCCAGCTCCTTAAGCCGCTCCTCATAGGGCTTGTTCTCCAGACCCTTGATCATTTTAGTCGCCCTCCTCTGGACACATTCCAGCTTGTCAATATCTCTCTTGAATTGTGGTGCCCAGAATTGGACACAATATTCCAGTGTGGTCTAACCAAAGCAGAATAGAGGGGTAGCATTACTTCCTTAGATCTAGACACTATGCTCCTATTGATGCAGGCCAAAATCCCGTTGGCTTTTTTTGCCGCCACATCACATTCCTGGCTCATGTTTAACTTGTTGTCCACGAGGACTCCAAGATCTTTTCCACACGTCCAGGCCTCATTGTCCCCCATTCTGTCTCTTTGCATTTCGTTTTTCCTGCCAAAGTGGAGTCCCTTGCATTTGTCCCTGTTGAACTTCATTTTGTTAGTTTTGGCCCATCATCTCTCTAATGGGCAATGCATGGTTCTAAAGTAGTTACAAAACTAGATGGCACTGGTGCTTTGCTTTTAAAGTGTTGCTAAAGTTCTGGTGGTGAAAATTTCAGAATGCAAACAAAACTTTCAATTTTTCATTATTATTTCATTATTGGCGGTTTTTATGACAGATCCAATTAGGAACTGGGTTGTTGTAGGTTTTTTCGGGCTATATGGCCATGTTCTACAGGCATTCTCTCCTAGGAGAGAATGCCTCTAGAACATGGCCATATAGCCCGAAAAAACCTACAACAACCCAGTGATTCTGGCCATGAAAGCCTTCGACAATACAATTAGGCACTGCCATTTATAATGAAATTTTGAAAGTTTTGTTAAGAGTTCTGAAATTTTCACCACCAGAACTTTAGCAACGCTTTAGAAACAATGTGTTGTAAGTACTTTAGAACCATTTAGACCCATGCATTGTCCATGCCTAATTCCTAGAATGATGGGGGTTGAACTCCAAAACACCTGGAGGGCCAAAATTTGCTGAAGTCTACTTTAGTCCCCTTCAAAGTCCCCCAACTCTTTGGTCTCCCTCTGTTCTTCCAACATGGGTTTCTCCCCGTGAAGGCCAGGGGTGGAGTGGGGCATCTCCAAGGCTGTGGCCTCTTCCAAAACTGGAGAGTAGGCCTCTCCCCCTTCTTGATGACCACTGCGAGAGGAGAGGTGGTTAATGGGTAGGATTGTATGCACCTCAAGAGGCTGCTGGACTGCAAAACCCAGCATCCATCACAAGACCTGTGGTGATCAGGAGTTGTTGGAACAATTTCCTGCTACTGCATCAAGGTGGAAAGGTGGGTCCTTCTGTCCACTGCCCAGCCACACCTGTGACCCTTGGACATGCCCACCCTTTAGGTGCTAGGCTATCTTGGGATGATGGGAGCTGCAGTGCAACACCACCTGCAAGGCATTGCACCCCTTGGGTTGTTGTAGGTTTTTCCGGGCTATATGGCCATGTTCTGGAGGCAATTTTTCTCCTGATGTTTCGCCTGCATCTATGGCAAGCATCCTCAGAGATAGTGAGGTCTGTTGGAAGTAGGAAAAATGGGTTTATATATCTGTGGAATGACCAGGGTGAGACAAAGGACTTTTGTCTGCTGGGGCTAGATGTGAATGTTTCAGCTGATCACCTTGATTAGCATTCAATGGCTTGGAAGTGCCTGGGGGGGAATCTTTTGTTGAGAGTGATTTTATGTGCCTGTTTGTTTCCCCTCTGTTGTTTTGCTGCTGTAATTTTTGAGTTTTTTAAGACTGGTAGCCAGATTTTGTTCATTTTCATGGTTTCTTCCTTTCTGTTGAAATTGTCCACATGCTTGTGGATTTCAATGGCTTCTCTGTGTAGTCTGACATGGTGGTTGTGAGAGTGGTCCAGCATTTCTTGTGTTCTCAAATAATATGCTGTGTCCAGGTTGGTTCATCAGGAACAAACAGGCACATAAAATTACTCTCAACAAAAGATTCCCCCCAGGCACTTCCAAGCCATTGAATGCTAATCAAGGTGATCAGCTGAAACATTCACACCTAGCCCCAGCAGACAAAAGTCCTTTGTCTCACCCTGGTCATTCCAGATATATAAACCCATTTTTCTTACTTCCAACAGACCTCACTACCTCTGAGGATGCTTGCCATAGATGCAGGCGAAACGTAGGGAGAAAAATTGCCTCCGGAACATGGCCATATAGCCCGAAAAAACCTACAACAACCCAGGGATTCCGGCCATGAAAGCCTTCGACAATACATTGCGCCCCTTGTTTTGCAGGAAGACGGCGGCCTGCTTGGGGAGAAGGCGTTGCTCTGGGGTCAGGGCCACTGTCCATCTTTGGTGGAGAAAGGACGCCACGCGGGTCAGGGCCTTACAAGAGTCGACATGCTTTTATTGGACTGAAAACCGTTTTTATGAAATGGTTGTTAAATAAAACCAAGACGTTTGTTTGGGCAGATGCAGAGTGAGGGTCTCCTTCTTCTCTCGGGAAGGAGGAGGAGGAAACAAAAGGAGAGGCAGAGGCGGCGGCAGCTCCCCGGCCCAAAGGCCTCTCTCTCTCTCCGGACCGAGGGGCAGGCGGCACTCTTTCCGGGGGGCTCCTTGGGAGCCGGACTCCGCCGTGGGGCCAAAGGGGGCCCAGGGCAAAGCAGAGGGGGCAAAAGGAGGTCTCCAGGCACTTGGCGGCAAGGAAGATTTGGGGAGGGGGTTGCAACATTCAGCCGGAAGCGAGGCGCTCCTTTGCCCCTGAGCCCAGGAAGAGGGACCCCATTTCTGTTCCTCTCAAGGCTCTCTGGGTGCAAGATGGGCAGGGTCCGGGAAGTGCTTTGCAAGCCCCCCCCCCCTCAAACTGGCCAGTCAAAGGGCAAAAAGGAAGGAAATGCATGTTGCTGCCTGGGAAAGGAAAGGAACAAAGGCAGCAGTGGGGGACTGTGGTGAACCCTAGTTTTGGCAAGCCCAGGGAGGACCCCCCACACACCCTGCAAATATAAAACAATGGAAGATGAGGAAAAGGGCTGCAGGGCACTCAATGAATGGGCCACAGCTTCTGCAGACCCCCCAAGTGAGCGATAGCAACCTGAAGGCTCTTGGGTACGAAGGAAGACGCTCATCTCTGCAGAGCAAAGGTGGTGCCTCTGCTAAGTTGTGGGTCTGCTACCGTGCTCTGCTAAGTTGTGGGTCTTCAGGTGCAGGAGGTGAGAAGACCCTGCTCTCCAAGGTGGAAAAGGGGACTGGGGAGGGGGCTCTGCTGTTGCCCGGCTGTATGGGAGAGGCAAAGCCCACCCCAGAGCCCTCTCTCTGCATCTCATCCATGTGACCCAGGAAAAGGGGGGCAACTCTGCCCCATTTCAAGAGTGGAGGTGGGGGGGGGGGGCTTGGACCTGCCGGGTTCGGTGTTGAGCGGAAAGCCGAGGGAACGGAACCAGAGAAAAGGCATTCCAGTCCGGTGTGCCAAACTGAGGAGGGGTCCGAGGTGAAGCCATGCGCAGCGTAAGCAGCAGCAGCAAAAGCAAAGCTGCTGGGGCTGGAGGATGGAGGGGGTCAGCGGGGGCAGGCCGAGGTCACTGACAAAGACAAATAAATAGGCCTCTTGGCTCCTCCAGCCACAGCAGCCCCAAAGGGAGGGATGGAGGGAGGGAGGTGGGGGTCCCCTTCAAAAGGGAGGGAAGAGGGAGGGAGGTGGGGGTCCCCTTCAATCGGCCACAGAGGGAAAGAGGGGGCTCACGTCCCAGGGTGGGCTTTGGGCTTCCTGTTCCCCTTCCAAAGGCGGCAGCGGCAGCAGTGGCGGCGGCTACTTCTTGGGCTTCTTGAAGATCTTGAGGGGGAACTTCTTCTTCCCGGGGCCCGAGTCGGTCTCTTCGCCCGTGGAGCCGCTGTCTTCCTCTCCGCCGGCCGCGCTCTTCTTGGAGGCCAGGTGCGGGATGCGGCTGTTGCCCTTGCTGTTGGGGCGGCCCCCCTCCGAGGTGGGCGAGGGGGTCTCGGGCTCCGTGGAGCTGGGGCTGTGGGAGCGCGAGGAGTCGGAGGGGCTGTGCCGGGACGCCCCTGAGGCCCCGCCCCCAGAGTGGGAGATCTCCCCCAGGCTGGTGGACTTCTCCAGGCCGCCGTGGTTCAGCATCAGCGCTTTCTTCAGCACGATGGGGCTCTCGGCGAGATGCTCCGGCAAGGAGGATGGGCCTCCCTCTGAGTGGCGGCTACAGCTGGCGCCGGGAGAGGGGCCCCCAAGGGTCGGGAGGCTGGAGGGACCCACCTCCTCCATCGACTTGTTCAGAAGGCCGGCGGCAGGAGGTCGGGCGGTCAGCAGCTTGGAGGCCGAGGAGGAGCCGGAGATGCGCTGGTTGTCACTCAGGTGAGGGATGGAGGAGTCCGAGTCCGAGCGGGAGAGGTCCCTGCCAGAGCACAAGGAGAAAAGAGGTCAATCACAGTATTTATTTATTTCAGGCTTTTATATCCCATCCTATCTCAACCTCCGCAGAGGGACTCAGGATAACAGTAATGCATTTCATTCCTTCATCGTAGTCTCTGTGAATCGCACAAATGGCTTATTCTGCGTCTGCACCACGCACTCTCAAAACCTTCGACAGCAGGCATGGGCCAACATGTGTTGGAAATAACAACCTCTCAAGCCTTTCACTATTTACGTGTTAATGTATGTATTTGCTAACCTGTATTCTTTGTGTATGTTGATTTGCCAGTTTGATTCACCTCTTTAGTGTGGAAAGGGTTATAGACATGTGATTTTAGGGAACATGTTCAGACTCAGGATTCCATTTTGCATTCCGTGTCTGCTTACCACCTCATTGGAGGTGGATGTGTCTGCTTTAGACCTCAGTGCAGGTGGTTGCATGTTGCTGTTTGTACTTCAGTATGGAAATATGACTTTTGGACTTCAGTGAGTACAACTATACCTAAAGACTATGAACTATTAAGAATGACACCCCGTGTACTCAACACACAGAGAAGAAACTCTGTATAGTGAATTATACAAGTTGTTTATGAGCAAACAAGATATATTATTGGGTTGTTGTAGGTTTTTTCGAGCTATATGGCCATGGTCTAGAGGCACTCTCTCCTGACATTTTGCCTGCATCTATGGTAAGCATCCTCACAACCTCTGAGGCGAAACGTCAGGAGAGAATGCCTCTAGAACATGGCCATATAGCCCAAAAAAACCTACAACAACCCAGTGATTACGGCCATGAAAGCCTTCTAAGACATATTATTCCTCAAAGAAGACTTTGTTGTTTTTTTATTATTATCTCCAAGTGCATATTTTAACTAAGAGGTTTCAAGGGAGCGTATATGTTTTGGGCAACTGCAAATCCTCCTTCTAAGAAACAACCATCCTCTGGTAACTCAATATATTTTTGTAGTGGCATGTCTTTATCCTTGGCAGTTTAAAGACATGGTTCTTCAGTCTAACAGCTGAGTTACCCGTGTGCCATTACATGAATGCTTATGAATATCACTGGTTCAAAGGGTTGACTTCTAACTAGGTCATGCTTTTCTTGGCTAGTGGATTTCAAAAGGTGGTCTCAACACGTTCATGGAGATACACATTTGCCAAATGGATGTGACATCGGGTTGTAGGTTTTTTCAGACTATATGGCCATGTTCTAGAGGCATTCTCTTGAGATATTTCGCCTGCATCTATGGCAAGCATCCTCAGAGGTAGTGAGGTCTGTTGGGACTAGGAAAATGGGTTTATATATCTGTGGAATGGCCAGGGTGGGACAAAGGACTCTTGTCTGTTGGAGCCAGGTGTGAATGTTTCAACTGACCACCTTGATTAGCATTTGATGGCCTGGCAGTTGTTTGGTGTGGCTTGTTAGTGCCTGGGGCAATCTTTTGTTGAGAGGTGATTAGATTCCCTGATTGTTTTCTCTCTGTTGTTTTGCTGATGTAATTTTAGAGTTTTTAAATAATAGTAGCCGGATGTGACATCTTTTACATTTTCAATAAGGTTATGGTGCACTTATTTACAATAGGTTGGAATTTCCAATAACATGGGCCCTCCCTCCAGCTGGAAGGCTGTTAGGAATTGTGGGAGTTGAAGTCCAAAACACCTGGAGGGCCAAAGCTTGCCCATGGCTGATCTAGGTTTTGAGAGTGCTCTGTGCAGATTCAGAATAAGCCATCTGTGCGATTTCACAAACGACCACTCCAAAGATCTATGGTTACAGATAAGCAAACTGTCTTTCATATCTGTCTCTTCCCAAGGCCAGTTGCAAGGCAATTAAATACATTAGATAAAAATACAAAACCATTCCAAACACACAGATATAAGATGACCACCTGTCAGGCGGGAATGTGTCCTCCTGCATGGCAGATGGGGGTTAGACTGCATGGCCCTGGGGGTCACCCCCCCCCCACTCTACGATTCTGATTAAAACACACATGAAAACCAGTCAAACCATTAAAATGTCAATTTAAAAAATGTCTGAATAGGCCTGCCAGAAGAGATAGGGCTTGACTTCAAGGCAAGGATCATGCTCAGAAAGCAAAGACATACACATATGGACATGCAGCCGGTACAGGAAGGCCGACTGACCCCTCAGGTGGGCAGGGAGGGCCAGCCGGTGAGCCCCTCCACTTGCTGCTACAAAGGCTCTTCAAAGCTGCCCAAGAGGGAACCAAGTAAAGCATTCAGACTGCAGTGGTTCTCAACCTGTGGGACTCCAGGTATTTTGGCTTACAACGGAGACGGAGATCCTATGTCTGGGTCGACCGGGCAGTGGGGACATCCATCTGCCCACCCTGGATGGCGAGGTGCTACACCCATCATTGTTGGTCAAGAGTCTGGGAGTCCTTCTGGACCCTCTACTGAGGATGGAGGCCCAGGTCTCCCGCTGCCGTGAGCAGAACCGCCTTCTTCCACCTGCGACAGGCTAGACGGCTGGCCCCCTCCCTATCCAGGGACGACCTCGCTACGGTGATCCAGGCCACGGTCATCTCAAGACTAGACTACTGTAACGCCCTCTACATTGGCCTTCCTCTGTCGGTGATCCGGAAGCTCAAGTTGGTACAAAATGCAGCCGCTCGGCTTCTTGCGGGAATTCCGATGGGATGCCACATAACACCAATCTTCCTGCAGCTGCATTGGTTACCCATTGAGCACCGGATCACTTTCAAAGAGATGGGACTCACCTTGAAGGCCTTGCATGGTCTGGGGCCGATGTACCTGAGGGACCGCCTCACCCCCTCCCAACCCCAGAGATCCCTCCGTTCTGAGGACCAAGATCTATTGGAAGTCCCCAGTGTCAAGACCTTGCGTCTAACAGCAACCAGGCGCAGAGCCTTCACAGCAGTGGCACCATCACTCTGGAATACTCTGCCACCTGAAGTCCGTGCCTTGCGGAACTTACCAGCTTTCCGCAGGGCATGTAAGACATATCTGTTTCGACAGGCTTTTAATGTTTGATATCGCTGTTTTTAATTTTTTTTTAATTGCTTTTAAATTGTGTTAGATTTTAGCCTGTTCTTGTAAGCCGCTCTGAGCCCCAGGGGAGTGGCCGCATAAAAGTTCAAATAATAAATAAATAAAACTCCCAGAAATCCCAGCCAGTTTATGGGAGTTGAAGGCCAAAACACCTGGGGACCCACAGGTTGGGAACCACAGATTCAGGGGTTTGCAGCCCCTGGACTCCACCAGCCCCTGGACTCCACCTGCGTACTAACAGGAGCAGGGCGCAGGGAGCATACAACTCCTCTGCTGTACCAGCTCCACTGGCTGCCGATTAGCTACCGGACCCAATTCAAAGTGCTGGCATTGGCCTTTAAAGCCCTAAACGGTTCTGGCCCAACATATCTATCCGAACGTATCTCAGCCTATCAGCCCACCAGGACCCTAAGATCTTCTGGAGAGTCCCTGCTCTCTATCCCTCCGGCTTCAGAAGTGCGGCTGGCGGGAACGAGAGACAGGGCCTTCTCTGTGGTGGCCCCTCGGCTTTGGAATGCCCTCCCTATAGAGATAAGATCAGCTCCTTCGCTGTTGGTATTCCGAAAAAAACTTAAGACATGGATGTTTGAACAAGCATTCGGGTAATCCGATGCGATGAAGTTGATGACCAAGGACTGGTAATTATAGACGATGAATTCGGATTATGGTTTTTACTAAGAGATGCATTGGTCTGTATTGGTGGCCCGATACTGTGTACTGTATATGTTTTTAAGCTTTTAAATTGATTAAATTGATTATTGTTGTTTTTAAGTACTGTTAACCGCAATGAGTCGCCGTTGTAGGCTGAGATATTGCGGTATATAAGTGTACAAATATGGACCTTGGCTGCCCCCAGACTGCTCTCTGTTGAGGACAAGGAGGCTACTTTCTGGCCAGTTTGGGCTGCTCAAAAGCAGGGCCTGGACACACAAGGGCACATCCCTGTCTGTAGCAGGAGGAAAAGGGCAAGGGCCGAGGGCAAAGGGAGGCGGTCACTTTGGGGCTGCAATGGAGCAGAAACTTTCTTCCTGCCTTTGTTTTGGAGCTCCTTTTTAATTTATTTATCTATTTATTTATTTACTCTATCTGTATCCCGCCTTTCTCTACCCCAAAGGCACCTGAAATTGAGGATATAGCACACATATTATTTGATTGCAAATTGTATCAAAAGGTGAGTGTTGTAGTTCAGCGTGTTGGTCAAGTTGCTACTCCTGGTAGCAGGGAGAACAGGTCTACTCTGGAGTCGGAGGGAGAACAGCAGCGTCAGCACATTAGGGAAATCATTATGGCTCCAAGTGATACTGACACATTTCCAGGCTTCTCCGATTGTGAGATGGGGGATGGGGAAGTGAGCAGCGGTGTAAAAAGGGCTGCTCGTGAGCCAGAGTCTGAGGGGGAATTACAAAGGAAGCGTATTCGGGAAATACTTTGTGCACCAACAGAGGATGAAGATTTCCTTGGGTTTGAAGGGAGTTATGGGTCTGGGAGTGATATGGAACAGGAGGAGGAATTAGATTGGACCCGTGTGCAACAAATAAGGGACATCTGTAACCAACCCACCTCCAGTGAGGAATTTGAGGGGTCCACGGGGGATTGGCAGCCAAGGGACTCTTGGCAGGTTCTGAACCCTGACAATCGTTGGCAGAGGTGGAGGGATGGGCACTCAGCTGCAGGTTTGGGGGCAGCTGAGAGTGATGACGAGAAGGTGGAGAGCTCATCAAGCTCTGAGGAAGAACTTTGAGATAAAAGTGGGCTCTGTTTGGACTGCACTTCGCAGAAGGCAAAGTGTCTTTATAGGACATAATTCTTTGTGCTGCCAATTTTCTACCTTGGGTCCTGGGCTACAGCTTCGTGTGTTCCTGAACTCCTGCTTCCTCGGTGATTCCAGCGTTTCAGCCTTTGTTTACCAACGGATTGACCACGGACCGGTTTGATTACGCTTTTGGCTTTCTGGACTTTGAACTCTTATATCTTTGTGACTGAAACATTTCTTAGTTTTGAAACCACGTTTTTCCAGCTTCTGTGACTGTGTTTTTGTGCTATACTTTTTTGCAAGCAGTTTGCTTAACTTTATGTTTAATCCGGATTATATTTTTGTTCCTGATTTCACCCTGCATTTGATGCTAAGTTCTTACAGATACTCTTTTGCACTGAAATTAAGTGCTTGAAGAACCTTTTTGATGTAATAAAGCTGTGTTTTTGAACTCTCATTCTGTGTTTAGCTTAATTAAGGCTTCTGGGTCACGACAGTGAGAGACTTCCACCTTGGTCCATATATCAAACGGACAATGTATTGGGAATCTCACATCAGAACAACATATTTTATGTGAGGCCAAGACCCAAAAATAACATATAAAACAGCTCTGTACTTAAGCAAAACAATACGTCTGAGAACCACATATGGAGGGCTGATTGGGGTAAATTGTAGGGGTGATAATGAAATATGATGTATATACTCAGCTTGATCAGTTTATCAGTTTTATCATGTCTTATCATAATTGTTTACTGCATTGTTATAAGTGTCTTATTTTAACTCACTACGTGGAGTGTGATCGGGTCTTGTCAGGCCTTGTTGTTCTGTTTCTTATTGTGATATGGCCTAAGGGCTAATCAATAAAATAAAATTACCACTACTACTACCCCAAAGGGGGCTCAAGGTGGCTTTACATACGGCAACGATCCAATGCCTTTGAACAACAAACTGTTAGAACCATAGAATCCTAGAGTTGGAAGAGACCCCGTGGGCCATCCAGTCCAACCCCATTCTGCCAAGAAGCAGGAAAATCCTATTCAAAGTTAAAATAAATTAAGTTAAAGATCTAAAATTAAAATTTAAATGCACGTTAAAAACGTATGAAACATTATAATTGCTAATAAAAACCAAGCCATCCACAATCGTAATTAGGGGCCACTCCAAAAGTCATTGCACATAATTCTGTAGCAATTATTGCACTGGAGTTAATCCCCAAAGGCTTTCACTTTCCTTCTGAAGGCCAGGAGGGAGGGAGCTGCTCTGATATCAATGGGGAGGGAGATCCACAGCTGAGGGGCCACCACTGAGAAGGCCCTGTCTCTCGTCACCACCTGTCGTGCTTGTGAGGAAGGCAGGACCAAGAGCAGGGCCTTCCCAGATGATCTTGTTCTCCGAGGTGGTCTATAGGGGATGATATGTTTGGACAGGTAAACTGGGAGAGAAATGTTTAGGGCAGTGGTTCTGAACCTGTGGGTCCCCAGGGGTTGTTGGCCTACAACTCCCAGAAATCCCAGTCAGTTTACCAGCTATTAGAACCATGATGGTGAACCTATGACACATGTGTCAGCACTGACACACATGGCTATTTTTGATGACACACAGCCACATGTGGCCGCATACAGAGAAGTACACCTTATAAGAGCCAATCTAATTCCATCTTAAATTTGTAAAAGGCTCTACAAATTTAACATCTGCATGTTTGAGCACTGTTCACTCCATAACTCAGCATGGATTATACATTTTTCTTATTTAAACTATAAATATTGCAAAATTACGTTTATTTTTTCACGAAGTTGACACCCCACCCAAGTTATGGTCAGGTTTTTGACACACCAAGCTCAAAAGGTTGCCCATCACTGTATTAGAATTTCTGGGAGTTGAAGGTCAAAACATCTGGGGGCCTACAGGTTGAAAACCACTGGTTTAGGGCTTTATAGGCCAGCACTCTGAATTGTACTTAGTAGCAGACTGGCAGCCAATGAAACTGACATAACAGAGGGGTTGCATGCTCCCTCTTTGCTGCTCTGGTGAGCAATCTGGTTGCTGTCCGTTGGACCATTTGGAGCTACCGGATAGTCTTCAAAGGCAACCCCATGTAGAGAATGTTGCAGTAATCTATTTGGGACGTGACCAGAGCGTTCTCAAGATCCATCAGGCAATGCACAAACGCTCCTGCTCAAGATGCCCACTCCCCTCCAGAGAGACACACCAAGCCACACCAAGATCCCTGCACCCACAAAGGACCAGGAAGGTTAATCACACAAAGCCCGGGAGGCAGATCACTCCAGGCTGCATATCACTCAGGAAGGTATTAGTGATGTAAGCGTCCCTCCTTGCCCTCTGGCTCCTTCAGACAGTGGGGAGGAGGCAAAAGGGCAGGACAGCCAGGCTCAAAAAGGAGGCTGAAGCGGCAGGGTTTGGGGGTAGGCGGGCCTCTCCGTGCCACATGCCATGCCAGATACCCAAAGCTCTCAGCGCGGCCTCGGGTCCCAGAGGTGACGTCCGGTGGGGGCAGGTTGGGCAGAGCATCCATCTGGAGGATGTAGGAGGAGGTGGTGTGGTGGTAGAGGATGGGCAGCCCGTGGCCCGCGGAGGGGCAGGAGGAGGAAGGAGCAGAAGGAGGAGGAGGAAGAGAGGAGGCCGCAGCAGCAGCGGCAGAGGAGGCGGCACCGTGGACGTCCGGGCCGAAGGGCTGCCCGCCGGAGATGCTGGGCATCCGGCGCAGAGTGACCCTTCCGCCGGGCAAGTAGTGGACCAGGGGCCCCGCCTCGGTCTGGCTCTCTACCAACCTCTGCGATCCCAAGGCGAGCTGGGGGTCCACGAGGCGCTGGCGGACGCTGCTGGGCAAAGAAGGCGCTGGAGGGACGGAAGGAGAGAAAGAGAGAGAGAAGTCAACGGAGGACAAGGGCACTTCTCCCAGGAAAGGGGCCCCTCGGCCGCTAGAGGGAACTGGCTCCACTGGGGAAAGGCTCCCCACACCCTCACCCCAAAGCTGCCCCATAGAAGACATTCCAGGTGTCTTGGTCTTTAGGCCTGCTCCTTGTCTTCTTTGGGGCACTGGCTCAATAAAGGTGTTGGATTGACTGCATCAACTTTAGTTTCTTAAATAGAGTTATCATGTATAGTCAAAGGCTTTCATGGCCGGAATCACTGGGTTGTTGTAGGTTTTCCGGGCTATATGGCCATGTTCTAGAGGCATTTTCTCCTGACGTTTCGCCTGCATCTATGGCAAGAATCCTCACTACTCACTACCTCTGAGGACGCTTGCCATAGATGCAGGCGAAATGTCAGGAGAAAATGCCTCTAGATCATGGCCATATAGCCCGGAAAACCTACAACAACCCAGAGTTATCATGGTTTTCTATGGGTGAGCAGGTAGATAGTGTATGTTCTATATCTTAAAAAGTAAAGCTGTTAAGAGCAAACAGGTGCCGTTTTTGGAATCAGCAGGTCAGATATACCCAGAAACGGGGCTTATACTGCAGACACCAAAATGTGCGTTGGCCAATGCTATTTATTCTAATGGTTTCCAAGGGTTTTGTGTGATTTTGACTATTTGTCTTTAACCATTTTCCATGTTTAATTCCAATTTGATATTTATATGTTGCAGGTTTCAAAGTGTCAATTGGATAGTTGCTAATAGTGTATTTATTTTATTTTATTTATTTATTTACTATACTTGTATACAATTTTTCTCAGCCTATTTGCGACTCAAAGTGTAAGCCACTCTGAGTCTCATTTTAGAGAGAAAATATGGCTACAAATCAATATAAAAACACAAACCAACAAGAATTTTTCATCAGATATGATTTTAGGTCACTGTTATAGAGTTTTTTTGTGCTGAATTCACATCTGTGTTTACTTTTTCTTTATCACGTGTAGTTTTTGCAATGAGGCTAATAGAATAATTAATGCATTTACGCACTGATATAATAATAATAATAATAATAATAATAATAATAATAATACTTTATTTATACCCCGCTACCATCTCCCCAAGGGACTCAGTACAGCTTACATGAGGCTGAGCCCACAATACATCAATAATAAAAACAATAACAACAAGTAATACAAAACAATAAAATAAAACTCATAACAGAAAATAAACAATAAACATTTAATTTTTTTGTGCTGAATTCACATCTGTGTTTACTTTTTCTCTATCACATGTAGTTTTTGCAATGAGGCTAATAGAATAATTAATGCATTAACGCACTGATATAATAATAATTAATAGTAACACAACGACATATATCAATAGAATCTCACTGAGATCAGTGCATAAATGCATTAATTATTCAATAGGCCTCATTTCAAAAAATACATGTGATAGAGAAAAAATAAGCACAGATCTGAATTCAGCGCAAAAATGATCTAAAATCATATCTGATGAAAAATACTTGTTGGCTTGTGTTACACAAATATGATGTGAAATGTGCAGGCTTTACAGTAATCTGCTGTAATGCATCATTCGTCATATTTTAAAAAGTTGTTGTGATGGCAAAAAAAATTAAAGACATATTTAAAATCAACATAAAAAATTGGAGTGTTATATGTAATTGCCATCTGAAATTTTCCTGGATTAAGTAATTCTTCACTGGGCACCAGTCTGTTTTTGTATGAATTCCTCCCACCCTTTCCCTTATTTCCGCTCCCTCTTTTTTCCTCCTTTCTTTTTATTTACTATGTTAAAAATTTCAATAAAAATATTTTAAAAATCAACATAAACTTGATTGAAACTGTGCTGTTCTCATTTCTGATTTTTACAAGAAGTTTGATTTTGTTGGCTTGTGTAATTGTTGCTTTGCACAGCACTACTTTGCAAGAGGCACTTTCCCCTCCCGGGGTCTTTTTAGGGGTCCTGCCTCTGCACAAAATCCTCTAAAATGCAGGCTCCCTCCCCATGGAAAGAAGATTATGCTTGGATGGTGCCTCCCTGCCTGGACTGGATGGCCCCTGGGTCTCTTCCAGCTCTAAGATTCAAGTGTTCTCTAAGAGACAACCACCCAGGATCCGTCACTCTTCCTCCACAATGCCCCCCCCCCTCCCCATGAAACCCCCAGTGGACCAACTCCTAGCTTCCTGGGCTTGGAAGAGGCTCATGCAGAGGAGGCAGCGGTGGCCAAGAGGTTAGAGGGCAAAGAGGGACCACTGGGCAACAGAAGAACCAGTAAAAGGGGCAAGGTCTCCGGTGGAGAGTCTCCCCCCCCCACCCCATTTCTGACCATAGGGCAAGGAAACCCAAAGGGCACAAGCAGTGTGTTCTTGAAAGCTTTCATGACCAAAATCACTGGGTTGCTGTGAGTTTTTTGGGATGTCTGGCCATGTTCCAGAAGCATTCTCTTCTGACGTTTCGCCCACATCTATGGCAGGCATCCTCAGGGGTTGTGAGATTTTCTTAAGTGGGTCTGTAGATAGTTTGTAGGTTTGATGGTTTGTACAGACCCACAAGGAAAATCCAACAAATGCTACATTCAGCAAGGGGCAAGAGGGATCCTCTCATCTCTGCAGGAGTCAACCATGTATTATTTTGGGCACTTTTACCTTGCCCTTCTCAACCCCCAAGGGGAGGGACTCAGGGCGGCTTACAACCGGCACAATTCGATGCCAACAATTCAACAGATAAATTACATAACAGCAATAACCACAATAGTTAAAAACAATCAATTAAAACAATAACAATTAAAAGCCAATCTAGTGGCCAACGTTCACCGAGTTCTGATATCCATAAGTCCATTCAGCATTACCATAGTCCATTCCAATTTCTGGTCGTCATTACCTTGTCAGTCTGCCAGATTACCCAGATTACCATGTACCATGCAGCTGTGGACAAGAAGTCTCCATAGAGACCACCAAACGCAGCAGCAGCATTGCCCAGGCACACATCAAGGAACATGAAAGGCACTGCAGACTAAGCCCACCAGAGAAGTCAGCCATAGCAGAGCACCTGAGGAACCAACCTGGACACAGCATATTATTTGAGAACACAGAAATGCTGGACCACTCTCACAACCACCATGTCAGGCTACACAGAGAAGCGACTGAAATCCACAAGCATGTGGACAATTTCAACAGAAAGGAGGAAACCATGAAAATGAACAAAATCTGGCTACCAGTATTAAAAAAAACCTCTAAAATTATAACAGTAAATAAAGAACAAAACTCAAACACAGGGGAACTCCAGACAAGAAACAATATAAATCCCAGCAACTACCTCAGGCTGATTACTGCCTTCCTGAAGCTGCAAGACAACTCAATGCTAATCAAGGTAGGCAACTGCAACATTCACACTTGCCTCAAATAGACAAGAGTTCTTTCTCCCACCCTGGACATTATTCTACAGATATATAAACCCCACTTCCTAGTTTCCAACAGACCTCACAACCTCTGAGGATGCCTGCCATAGATGTGGGCAAAATGTCAGGAGAAAATGCATCCAGAACATGGCCAGACAGCCTGGAAAACTCACAGCAACCCTTCAAAAGCAGCATTTGGAAAGGTACGGGCAGGAAGGTGGAGGGTTCCACTCCTAGCTGCTCTAGTTTTAAAATGGGAGTCTCCCGTGGCCATGCACGTGGGCTAGTCAAACCTAGTTTCCCCCTTGAAATCACAGCCAAGGAAGGCCAAAGACAGAAGTCTTGGTCTCTCTCAAGAATGATGGGATAGAAAGGACCACTCCATCTGCTGCCAAGGTCAAACCTGGCTTTGTATCAAAGGCCTAAAGGCTTCCTGACTGTGAGAGCCGTTCAGCAGTGGAACTCTCTGCCCCGGAGTGTGGTGGAGGCTCCTTCTTTGGAAGCTTTTAAACAGAGGCTGGATGGCCATCTGTCAGGGGTGATTTGAATGCAATATTTCTGCTTCTTGGCAGAATGGGGTTGGACTGGATGGCCCAGGAGGTCTCTTCCAACTCTTTGATTCTATGATTCTTTCTCTTTGAAGTTTTTAAGCCAATACTGGATGGCCATCTGTTGGGAGGGCTTAGATCCGGCATGGACAAACTTGGGCCTTCTCGGTTTTTTGGACCAACTCCCACAATTCCTAACACCCTATCGGAAAGCTGGAGGGTCCAAGCTTGGCTTAGATGGTGTCTTCCTTCATGGCATAAGAGGACTGGGTGGTGCCTGGAGTCTCTTCCAACTCGATGATTCTAACCACCTTGTGGGCCCCCTCCCCAGTCTTTCAAAGGTCACCCCACCTTTCCTCCAACAAGCCAGGAGGACGGAGACCACTGGCCCTGAAGAGGCCAATTCCACCTCCCTCCTGCGAGGGGCAGCAGATGCCACCCAAACGAGAGCCAACTTGTGGAGGAGGTTCTTCGTCCATCTCAACAGCCCCCTCCCCAAAACGCTGCACCCAAAGGGCATTATTAGTACAGTCGCCAACTCAATTTTGCCAGAGCGGAGCAAGGCAGAGCAGGGATGGGGGAGAAGATAAGGAGTGAGGTGAATATTAGCTTCTGGTGCTCAAAAGGGCAGCAGTAGCAGCGGTGGGAGGGTGGCCGTGGGGAGAGGCCGGTTGTGTTTTAGTCCAGTGGGTGGGTGAGAGGAAGAAAGGGAGAGTCCAAAGAATCGTCCTCAAACCGGGGTATTTCCAGGGCGCGGAGGGGTCTTCGGAGCAGAACCGGGACTGGCCCAAGAGCAAGGCGGCGTCTGGCGGGAGACCCCCGGAGGGGAGGGGAAAAAGAGGGTCAGTGGCCAGGGAGACATCCCTCTCCACTCACTTTGTTGCAGCTGAGCCCTAGGATGGCACCAGCATCCGTCCCAGAGAATGCCGTTCCCACCCTGTTCCCCAACCCGAGTACGACCTCAGAGCCGTCTCTGGAGGAAGGCCAATGGGCCCTATCCTGGGGTGCGTGG